GAGTTCGAGTCATGGTTTGTTGACACTTAATTTAGTATTGGTTCTTTATTTGTTTTTATTTTCTTGTTGCTTCTGTCACATATTTAAATATCGAACTTGATCTCCGGATATTAAGTCGAAAAAATAAGTACTAAAACGTATAATGCCTTTCAAAATAAAATAATAAATCTACGTAATACATATTTTTAGCAAATACAGACTTTAACATTTGTTGAGATTCATTATAAGTAAGCATTGCCTAAGCTACCTGTCAACATATAAGGGACATAACAGCTACAAATGATGAAAAGCAAAATACAAACGTCTCTGATCATGATAGACACATTAGTTTAATTCTGACCGAAATATTACTTAGTGTTGTTCAATGACTCTCTGATAGACAACACTGGTTCTTATTTCATATTCTAGATAATCGGCATTTCACGTGATATTTGTTTTTACTTAACTACGCGTCATGTATTGATCGCAAATTCAAATATAACACGACTTCAGTTATAAGTATGGAGATGTCATTTCGGTAAGTTTAGTTTGCGCAAAATATATCCAATACTAGAAATTATTGGCTAACAATTTGACGGGCTTTTCACCGTTAGGACTGATTGGTCTTTCATCACAAACATATCTTTTTACCTCACGGTCTTTACCTTCCGTGAAGAAAAGGATAATATAAACCATAGTACTGAAAGTTAGCAGGGGGTTTCGTTTAGTATAAATGAAAATACTCATACACACTTCACAGAATTTGAAAAAAATTTGAAGATGGTTTTTCACTGTTAAAATCTCATTCGATGTATGTCAAGGCCATTCATTGGAATCGCATTAACGTCCTTCATTCATGAATGCTTCTTGCCAAATATCATGTACCCTAGACCTCTTCCTTATTTTTTCCCTGGTGTACTTGACCGTTGATTAAGGTCAACCATTTTGACAAACTTGATAGCCAATCATCTGAGCATGTTACATATCAAATATCAATACTCTAGTCCTTGAAAAACTTCCAAAGAAGTATTTCAAATGTGTTGCCTTGAAATAGTACATTCGAAATTGGACCCCAACCGAAAACCAGAAGTTGACCTTGATATCCAAAAATATTTCCTGAGAAAAAAAAAAGCAGTTCCATGTCCTTCACACCGTGCCAAAACATAATGTGAATGACTGAAATAGTTTTCGAAATATTTTGGTTTATAGGAATTTGAGCTTTTTTAATCACTTGACTTTTGTGACCTTAAATGTTAATCAAGGTCAATCATTATTTTAAACTTGATAGCCAAACATCTCAGCATCTCACGGATTAATTATCAAGACTCTTGACCTCATAGAACGCGAGGAGAAGTTTGTTAGAGGTTGTAACCAAAATATCACAGTTGAAATTTGACTCCTACCAAAAAACGGAAGTTGACCTCCGAGACAAAAATGTTTTCTGGAAAAGATATGCGAATTCACACCCACCAAGCCTTAAAAAAGATAATGTTATATTATGTTAATATTTTTGTTTAAAGAAATTTGAGCTTTTTTAAATATTTAACCTCTGTGACCTTAAATATTGATCAAGTTCAGCCACGTTTTTATACCTGATAGCCAAACATCTCAGCATCTTACAGATTAAATATAAAGACTCTAGACCTCGTAGAACTTAAAAAGATTTTTGAAGTTTGTTACCTTGTATAGTGCATTTGAACTTTGACCCCTACCGAACACCAAGAGTTGACCTTTGACTAAAAAATGTTTCCTGTGGAATATTTCTGTTTTGTTGGTCTTCAAAACATATTCAAAGATCAACTTAATAGTTTCATCCATTAATGAGTTATTGCAATTAAGCTAAAAACGAATATGACGTCATGGCGGCCAGTTTATTTTTTTACGGAGTCAACAATATTACCAAATTTGGTGGCACATCTTGGGAAACCATAATACCATGTTAAATGAAATTACTATCAAATACATTGGTGAAAACTAAGTTTTAACATACTGCCGTCATTTTAAAAAGATCAAAGGTAATATTCAAAATGGCGGAGGATGATAACGGTAACGGTTACAGAAGAACTGAAGACATCAATTTCATAGAATAAAATATCCTTTCGACTACTGAAAAACTTAAAAAATGGAAATGTTAAAAATAATTATTGGTGACCTCTGACCCAACAGCGAGGATTATTGTTTGACCTTTTTTTTTGTATTTATATGTATGGAAAAAGGTAACCCCAAAGAATAAGTACAACTAATTTAATTGCATGAATGCTATATAATCAACGATTTTTGAGTTATGGCCATTTTTAGATTTAGACCTTTGACCTCACTGCGGCCATATTGGATTGTTCACCTACTTGCAAAAAGTTGCATGTACACCTTTCGACCTTGGCATACACTATACTTGAAAGACTATAACATATCTAATACCAATCAAAAGATAAGCTGCTAACAAAATCATGGAAGAAGTAGTAGAAGAAGAAGAAACATAACAAAAGCAATAGGTCTTTTCACCATAAGTGAAAAGCCTTAATTAAGTATTCGGATCAAAATACTTGAAAATGATCACATTTTTCTCATTACGAATAAGGTAACATGCATGGGAAAGCAAGTCCTATCCTGAGAAATGAAAATCATATTATCATGAAGTTGAATTATTTATTTTGTTAATGGTAAAAAGCAAATAATGTGGTGAAATACAATTTGAAACTGAAAAAGAAAAGCTAGTAGCATCGCTTAACTCCAGTAAAGTGCATTGCAGTGTTTGGTTCACAGCATTCTAAAATACTTAAAGGAATGATATGAGTAGGAATCGATAGATTTTCCTTCACATTCTATGACGTTACGAAGTTTAGTGATTTATCCTAATGGTAAACTTTAAAGCATTAATATCTTCAGGTGACAGATTGGACCATTACGTCCATTATCTTAAAAGGTTTTTTGTATGGAAACAAAGAAGAGGTACAAAAATCATATTTAATGGTATTATATCACTTTATATGCACCGTAAAAAAACCCATTGATATTAATGTGTATATTGTATACTTTTCGGATAATAAAACAATCTGTAAGTCATTAGAATAACTTATATTGTAAAACATTGTAAATAATATAATGTGTACAGCCTTGTTTATTTACACTTATATATAGTGACTGTTGTGAGTTAAAAAAAATAATAGTATAAAACGACAAAGTTGGGGTTTCTTTCCCGAAATACCTGGTAACTATTATTCAGGACAGTAAATGATCATATTTTAATTGTATAAAAAAAACGTTTTGTATTACTTAAAAGACAACTTTTAAGAAATATAAGTAATTCTGCTGTTTTTATAGAGATATTTAAATATACTTCTGGAGAATAGGAAAATGATAAAACTGTAATGGGACAACGTTCGATTTATAATCATTCATAACGATATGTATGGAAATCTGAATCAAGTCAAAACTTTAATGAGATGTCAAACTTGTTTTTATGCAGTATGTAGTAGAGTCGTATTTCTGTTTTATATATTGCGTCTTTAAAATACTTGCGGACACTTATTTCATTTTCGATTAAAAAATATGATTTCCCTTTGACAAGGGATGGAGCAAAGGCAAATCAGACCCATCTGGCACATATTTGAAAAGGGATCCCCCTTATGATAAAGCACGGTAAGCGATAGGATTCATTATTGGCGGATCCTTTTACTCTAAAGGGAACAGATACCTGTTATAAGTTGTAGCTATGTCGATTTTCAGAATTGCCCGTGCACTTATTCTTTGGTGTGTCGTTTATGAACTGATGATAACAGCTCACCTGGCTCATGGTATTTGCGTTGCAGTGATTATCGTATAGGTTGGTATTGTTAACCTATCGACATACTATATTTAATAGTTACACGCATATTCTTCCAGCGCTTTATGTATTAATGTGCGGATCGGGGTAAACGACTCCGTTAAAGGCGAAAAAATAAGGCGATTATGGGCTTCTCGTTTATAAGTGGTTATCTCTTATCTATATCATTATTTATTGTCGATTTGCCCATACCGCAAGATGCGTCCCTGGTAGCAAATATAAATCATCTCCTATACAAGGGCGAGGAGCTCTATCACACTATTTTATTCAAATATGTGCGGCTTGTTTTACTATTCCATAAAATCAGATTGCAATGAAATAAAAAAAAAAAAAAAAACCCATGAAATTTGTCAATTTTAAAATGTGTAATGTGCATTTCACAAATCCTCAATGGCTGCTTCAAGAAATTGCGTGACTATGACGTTGTTCGGTTGGTATGGCTGTTCTACCAGCACTGCCCAAAATGTGATATTTTTTTTATTTTTTTTTATTAAATGTTAGTACAACCTCTTCAACACACATTTTGTTCTCGTTAAAAATATAACAGGTACAAAAGGCAAAATCATATCATAAACAGTTTTCTCCTGAAACCGTATGTGCTATGAATAGATGAACACCGAAACCAGGCACGTAATGGCGTCGTTTAACAATGGCATGGACAATGCTTTTAATGGCTTTATTATAAGAATTATATTATATTTCCTAAAATACAATTCTTAATCAATTTTATTAAATCCTCACTTAAACTAAATACTGAATACGAATCCTAATGATAAGAACTGGATAACAAGTTCAATAGGCCCTAAAATGCGCCAGATAATTAAAACTCAAAGAATATACAACATCGCACAACACTAAAAACTAAATCACATTCGATTAATAAAGAAAAAAGGTAATAATATTATTGACTTGGTTATTTAAGAGTCATTTAACAGGCATTTCCACAATTTAGTCTTATATCAAAAGGTTAATATCAGATTCATGGGTCTCCATATACTATTTACCATTTAAAATTATAACGGTGTTATCCCCTAAGAAAATCCTGCATCCGCCCCTGTATATTTCACCTAGTTGGAGTGATATTATATTATCATAAGAGCTGAACTAAATACACGAGTATGCAAGCTCCCCTTAAAACAGGTCAATACACTGATAAGACAGCCTGACACGCTATATAAAACGGAAAAGTCATTGTGAAAAGATTGGTGGTCGCAGCGACTTGTAGTAGGTAACAGATTTTGTGATGTGTGTATTATATCTGCCATAGCTTTTCTTTGCATGCTATTTTTGTTACAAGTTATATAGTGACATACAAAGAAAATGTTTACATATGAAACATGTCCTCGGGATTATTAGTCGTATTCTTATGGGGAAAATATGTTAAAACTCGTTGCATACCTTGACATAAAGTAAGTATGATATTTTACAACAGTTTGAAAAAGTTTGGCATTTTATGCATATTTATATATAATTTGACATTTAAAGACATCTGTCCTACTGCACACAAAACACTAGAGAGGTCCACTTAACTATTTCGTACATAAAGTTCGCTTTAAAATGTTTTAGTCTTTTCAGAATTATGTTATTGAAGCTATAATTATTTCGGGGGGAGAGGGTCATTGCATAGTTTAATAGATTTGTTTTCAGTGGTACGGAGATGCATTAATTACAGGTTTTAAATGGTATGGCACATTTTCTATATAGTATGACATTGAAATACATGTTATATATACAATGTATTATGACATTGTATTACATGTTCTATATACCGTGTAGTATGACATTGTAATACATGTTCTATATGGTATGACATTGTAATACATGTTCTATATAGTGTGACATTGTAATACATGTTCTATATAGTATGACATTGTAATACATGTTCTATTTAGTATGATATTGAAATACATGTTCTATATAGTATAACATCGTAATACATGTTCTATATAGTGTGACTTTGTGATACATGTTCTATAAAGTATGACATTGTAATACATGTTCTATATAGTATGACATTGAAATACATGTTCTATATAGTATAACATTGTAATACATGTTCTATATAGTGTGACATTGTGATACATGTTCTATATAGTGTGACATTGTGATACATGTTCTATATAGTGTGACATTGTGATACATGTTCTATATAGTATAACATTGTAATAAATGTTCTATATAGTGTGACATTGTGATACATGTTCTATATAGTGTGACATTGTGATACATGTTCTATATAGTATAACATTGTAATACATGTTCTATATAGTGTGACATTGTGATACATGTTCTATATAGTGTGACATTGTAATAAATGTTCTATATAGTGTGACATTGTAATACATGTTCTATATAGTGTGACATTGTAATACATGTTCTATATAGTGTGACATTGTGATACATGTTCTATATAGTGTGACATTGTAATAAATGTTCTATATAGTGTGACATTGTAATACATGTTCTGTATAGTGTGACATTGTAATACATGTTCTATATAGTGTGACATTGTGATACATGTTCTATATAGTGTGACATTGTGATACATGCTCTATATAGTATAACATCGTAATACATGTTCTATATAGTGTGACATTGTAATACATGTTCTATATAGTGTGACATTGTAAAACATGTTCTATATAGTGTGACATTGTGATACATGTTCTATATAGTATAACATCGTAATACATGTTCTATATAGTGTGACATTGCAATACATGTTCTATATAGTGTGACAATGTGATACATGTTCTATATGGTATGACATTGTGATACACGTTCTACATAGTATGACATTGCAATATATGTTCTATATAGTATGACATTATATTACATATTCTATATAGTATGACATTAAATCACATGTTCTATATAGTATGACATTGTAATACAAGTTCTATATAGAATGACATTGTAATATATCTTTTATATAGTATGACATTGTAAAACATGTTTTGTACTATATGACATTGCAATAGATATTTTATATTGTATAGTTTGACATTATTTAATGTTTTATATCGTTTGACATTGTAATACATATGTTTTATAACATGACATTGTAACACATGATTTATACAGTATATCACATGCTGTATATAATTGTTTCCACAATAGTTATTGCTCTGAAGGAGTTCAACTTTAACTGAGTTTCCTGTTCCCGGTTGTTAAACAGCAAAGAAGAAATGACGAAACAAATAATAACATTTATGCCATGCTGCTTGTTCACATGGTATGACGTCAAGACTGCAAGCTTGTACACTAGACAACAAAACACTCAACAACAATTGTGATTGTAATGGCCGTTTATGATAACGACATTATATAACGACATTACATAACTTCATATGACTTTACGTAAAAACAGTACATATAACAGTACGTAACATTACGTATTAGCCAAAGTAATGTAAACACAAGTTTGACCAGTGTAGGTGGGGGTATATCTGGCCACCATGCAGTTTGAAACGTCAGTGAGTAAACACCTGGAGTTTATGATAACCGACGTTTAAAATATGCATCCCCCACCCGAATAACATTTATTCACATATTATGAATAACATTTAGAATGATTGGAGTGTGTGATAGTTGTAGGACGAACAGCTGACAGAGACCCTATAAGAGTCCTTTCACATATGTGAATGACTCTCCTGAAGGGTCGGGTTATAGATCTGCTCTGTCCAACTGCGTGTCGAAAAAGGCGATTAATGTTGGGGGCCCTGCAGAATGATGGGGTTTCTTCTGTGTCTTATGCTTAAGGCACATTTTAATACCTAGTGCCTACCTTTGCAACATCTAACATTCGGCTTCAGTGTTGCGCGTCCACCGAGGTAGGGTAGGTAACGGGTTCTGTCCCCAGCCCAAGACATCCCAATTCCTTAAATATGGTAGCTGTTTTTCCTTGCTTCACGTTCCGAAACAACTGGTTTATCCGTCAGTATAATCCGACTGGGTGGAATACTGCAATGCCTTCTAGTTAGTATTTCAGTGAGATAGCACTATATTTTCATGATTAAATCCGCGCTATCACAAGGAGGTAAATACACCAACATACGCTGCCTCCAACACACCTACACACGTATGGGCATAAAATGAATATAGGTATTTCTCGTCAACGCGATTGGTCACTTTAGTCTGACATTACCAACGGATACTACATCAAAGCTATATATTTTACACTACATACTAAGCCAGTTTACTTACCTCTTAACATGCATATCACTACAACTAATACATATCAACAATGTTGCACCGCACATACAAACTAACGGTTCATAATACTTGTACTTGGATCAGCCTACTGCGGTCAGTCACCATTTATGTTTCACATATACATGTAGTTACCGACAAATAGTTTTAACAACGACGTGCAAAATCCGAGGTTGGGATGTCTCTATTACCGGGATGGCATCCCTATCAGTTGATCAACTCGTCTTTCATGTTCAGACCAGCTCTCGTTTCGCATTCATTTTTATACATAAACTTACCATGACGCGGAAATATTTAAACACCGAGAAACATCTTCAAAGTAGCCAATGAGACAATACACATGATCAATATTTGTTATATACACGTTTATACAATAGAGTCCTCTACAAATATGCGATCATGAAATTCTACACGTTTCATGTAGAATGATGTTTAACTACGTTGTATGTAGCATGTATGCACTCCATTCAAATTACATTTGACCAACAATACAAATCACTTCATATCCGCATTCTATGAACAATTATGCACTTAACTATAGAGCAAATGGGACCATTTTCCCCAACACAATTGCACGCATAATCAAAAAATTGTTTTGTAGGGACTTCTCAGAGGGTGAAATGATGTGAAAAATGATGCTGGTTGAAAATATCGATAAAGTTGTGTTAAGTGGAGTTAATCCTTACCTTAATATTTGATAAGTTAACTTATGATGTTTTTACCAGTGTAATATGAGAAATAATTAGTTTGTATTTGTATCTTTACTGCAGTGAAGATCTACGAAATGTTATATAATCACATGTCATAATTTAAGTCAAGTATCGGTTTTATATTGAACAATCAAAATGGTATTTTCTATTTACTTCCGCGTATTTTCTGTTCAGCTACAGATGTTTTTGGCGCTTTTGTTTTGGGACCTACAAAAAGATAACATTCTTTGTGATTTTCTTTGTGAGCAAATCCTACTAGAAAAGCTGCTTATTCCCGCACTTTTTTGATGCAACAAATTTTCATCGTTTTATTTTAAAGATAAGAACTAAATGTAAAGGATTTCCTGTGAAATACCATATATTTCACTCATATGGTAGAAAACTCGTGAAATATTAATGTTATTCAACGGGAAACAATTGAGCTACAAACACGCGATGCAAGTACGTCTGGACATGTTATAGCTGCCTTTTAGACATTTTTGTAGTCGATTCAACCTAACGAAAATTCAAATTGTAATACAATGTTTACAAACATCTCATATGACAATCATGTGTATTAGTATGTGTAACGTGTGAAAATCTATTAACAGGAGACAGACGAAAATGACGAAGGAAAGAAATGGTTCGAATATCAATTGTTCTCATGAACATGAGACAATTTCACAGCACGACATAGACAAAGAAGATATAGAGGAGGAAATTCATTCCAAAATTGTTCACATCCACGAACAACAATCACTTATATCCGAACTTCGGCATGACGAGGTCATTCGTTTCAAGGTCACACTTAGTATGTGTGTTACCTTCGTTTATGTCATGTTGGTATGTATTGTGTAGTTTTATTCTCATTGTCAGCAAGAAGCTGTAAGTTAACAATGTCCGGAGAATTTTTCGATAATTGAGTTTGACGTTATTAATACTTGAAATCAATGGAATTTCGTGGCATTCGGTAATAAAGTGCATTTCCTACTGTAATTATTTTTCTTACTTCAAAATGGGAGGTAATTGTATTGTTCAGTGGCTGACCCAAGGGCTCCCCAACCATGGCAGCCCCAATCAAAATATTTTTAAAGTTTATATATATGTATATATTCATATCATGCGTGCAAGCAGTACATATCTACATACTTCTTTATGAAAACATGGCTGGGGAAATAAAATATTCCGGAAAAGAGAGAGACATAAAACAGCACATTTCTTTAGAGTTCCAAGAATATCATTGCACACTGTTCTTGTTCTCAGACCAATTTCACACTTAATTAATACATTTGTAACTTTCATGTAAAAGAAAAATCCGTTGCAATGTTAATTGAGTGTTATCAAGGAAATATAACAATACCTTTTATTTTCAAAGTGAACTAAATAATACAAAGTAATTGTATGTGGTTAAATGTATTGCGTTGTTTATGTTTGTTTTTTGCATATAGTTGAAAAAAATGCTTTGGAATTCAGTTATTATTTTCTATTTCCTATAATTTAGACTTAATAATAATATATAAATGTAGTTGTCTCTGTCGTTATGACACGTTGTTTGTTCGCAATGTAGAAATAATATGTATGGCGTATTTGTCAGTAGTGAATGTTAATGTAGTATAGTTACTTTCCTTCGATATTTTTTTTACTATTTTCTTATATTACTTGAAACATTATTTTGATGTCGATAACATATTGTATTATTATTTTTATTTCATCAGGGATGGTGTAAAAGCCAAACAGGCCCAGCATTTCTAGACATTCTGTATATATCTGGCACAGACCTGGAAAAAGGATCTGCTTTTATGACGTCATACAGCGCGGGTTGTGCGATAGGATCCGTTGTTGGCGGGTCATTTTACTCTAAAGTGAACAGATACCTGTTACTAGTTGTAGCTTTGACGATTTACAGCCTTACACGTGCACTCATTCCTTGGTGTATACTTTATGAACTCATGATAACTGTTAACCTAATTCATGGTGTTTGCGCTGGAGTGATAACTGTTGGTATGTATTGATTATACAATATACATATACATGAAATGTTTCTAATCGCTGATAGAAATAGAGTTGACTACTCTGTTGTAGAAAGATAAATAGTGCGCTAAAAAGCTTTCTGTTTATCAGTGGTGAAATTCTAGTTTTGGGAAATTAACTTTAGTGGGTCTTAGCATTTCAGCTAATATAGCACATAGCAACTAACCAGATATATCACGCGAAATTCTTACATGATCATTTTAGTATAATTAGCAAATACGAGGAAAGGTAATTAATAGAGCAAATAAAAGGAAAAGGAAACACATAAGGAAACAATATGACACTTAAACAAAAGGATTGATATAAACCTAAAAAACCGAAAGAGAAATTAAACAATGTTGTTCGAAAGCGTTATTGGCGCCATTTCTTGATTACATAATGAAATATCCGGTCAGATCAAAAGAGTAATGACGGTAACTAACGATCAAAGACAAAAACAACGTGATAGCGTCTAAAATCGTGGCAAACACTTAAATTCCAATGTTTAAAATGGGCTTGTGGCGATTTTCTTCAATGTTAAAAATGCAACTGTCAGCTAAATAACTCGTAAAATATTTTTATATTGGACTTAGCACACTGGAGAAGTGGGCCATTTTATTTGATAAAACATTGTGTTATATTTTTGACAATATGTCTACCAATTAGCACAACTATTTATACGATCATGTCATAAATATCACTCAAGTGTTTCGATTTAACGATGAAGCTTCATGATTCCATTTCCTGCTATTCTAGGTCACATGCTTTGCTAACGATAATATTCATGATTTGAATCTTTATTCTGTCAGAAGAATATGAATCTGGACATGTATGGTCTCATTGTATTTGATAAAGTTCTTTTTATTCCCAGTGGTCGTAGCTGTTGCAGTATCGATATGGGGAGCTACGCCACGAGGCAGAGTGTTTCTAAACATTTTCCTAGTTTCTGACGGTGGAGCCGGTCTGATCGCACCAATGGTATTAACCCCATTTCTATTGCCGCCGAGAACGAGTGATATCATCTTGGGCAACGACCCGAGGAACTTCTCAATTATCAATGTTGCAACAAGGAACACATCTACTATAGAGGGAAATATTTCGGCAGCCTATTCTATTCTACAAGCAAACATAAGTCATATTGAAATTCCAGCATCCAGCGTTTATATTGCATATTCTATCTCAGCCGGACTGGTTTTCTTATCAACCTTGCCATTCATTGTGATATTTGCCAAACCGTCTAAAAACGATAGCAAGGGCAGCGTTGACAAAGAATCCAATTTTCTTGGAAAGTTACCTTTAAGAGTCAAAAGGCTTCAATTGGTGAACGTTGGAATATTTTCGACGTTTTACATGGCGGTTTTCTTCATATTTACTGGATATTTGCCTGCGTTCTGTGTTGAACATCTACGATGGACAAAGACCTCTGGAGCATGGTTGATGTCAGTAGTTTATTTTGCGATGCTCTGTGGAAGATTATTCGGTGCGTTTCTATCCAATTTCTTTAAACCTATGAAGATGCTTTTACTTTCAACTATTTTACATGTCATGGGATTGGTAGGACTTTCCGTCAGTGGTGTCTTCCTGGCTGATGTGGGGATCTGGATATCTGTATGTGGCGTAGGTATTGCTTGGGGTTTCACATGGCCAAGCCTGTTGAATTGGACAAACGAGAATCTAATTCCAGTTCGCGGTAAAGTTACGGCATTCATCTGGTTAATGGGATTCGCTGGAACATTATTAAGTCCTTTGTTGTTTGGATACATGATGGAAAAGGTTTCACCTATTTGGTTTTGTTTTTTAAACTTAGGGAAGGCTTGTATAACCTTTCTAAATGTTATTTTCATGTTTGTGTACACAAGATCTGCGAGGAAAATTTCCAGCAAGGATAAACAAAGAAAGCCTTCAAACAGTGAAACCTAGACACTTGTTTCTTTTAAATATTCCAATATTAGTTCTGGGGACACACGTTTCAACTATAATGCGGATTTATGATTGCCAGAACTGAGACTGCATTCTATAATGTATCATGTGCTAAAAGTCTCTATATATTTTCATAATGAATGATAAAGAAACACATGTAGAATAACTATATCTTGCACCGAAGTATCACTAATTATAATTTATACCCTTAATGAATAAAAAGTAACTTTTTTCCTAGAAAACCGCAAAGAATATTCCTTCTTGTCTTTATTCATCTCCGCAGAAACCAAGCATTAATATATCAACCTGAATATAAGGTCACTGAGACATAAAACAGATTTATCAAACTCTGAACTATATTTAGTTGAGACAGTATGTATGTTTAGAGGCTTGCCTTAGCCCTGATGTTGCAAATACGGACAAAAGTCTTGATTCCTATCATTGGTAGCAGAGTACAGAAGAAATGGCTTGACCCTAAAAATAAAGGGCATGTCTCGGATAAACATGGACAGCGGATTCATCCTGTACAACACACCCACATATATATATATATATATATTTATAAACTGCATTTTGAATACTTTTTTTTTAGAAGAATGAATATTTTTTCATAAAGTGATTTCCCCAGATTTGGGACTTGTGAAAACCATGGTTACCACATCAAAAAACGCCAAAAAATGTAAAAAAAAACGTCGTGACCCACGCAAGAAATATTTTTTTTCTTAATATCTGTCTTAAATTAAATATCACCTACTCGGTCACAGAAATACTCACGTTTTAGCATAGGTCGTCAAACTGGATTTTTCACAATACTTACACACGTGCTGAGTACAAAAATAGACTACATGAAAAGCTAGCTTTTGTTGTGTAGACACAGATTCGTAAATGGCCAAAAATGTAGTCTCAAGCCAAATTTGATTTTTTTTTAAATGTGAAGCCCACATAGTCCTATTCATCATGTATATGCCATTTTAGAGCTGATTTTATTTTACTTTTAATATTACAGGGCTTATTCATTGCACAAAAATATCACCCATGGCCACGTACGCTACTGTAAACTGCTACCTTTACACACCAAATTGAAGTCAGAAATATTTTTTTACCGAACGACGTTATGACCTAGAAAACGTTTGAGTTAAATTAGATGGACTGAGGTAAGTTAAATGAATCTCATTTTCCCTTTGATTGCATGTTAAGACCTGAAACTACAAACTGATTACTAACACATATCAAATGTACTCTTCTTGGAAAGGTCACTGATAACAACTAAGATATTATATGTTATATTAAATTAAACAAGTTGAATATTCAACCTTATTTACAACTAGCTCGTTTAATCACAAAATATCATTTAACTTGTATATTAAACAGACTCACTAGAATAACACCTATCACATCAACCTCTATAAATATCATCAAGGCAAATTAATGTGCTATTGTGAAAAAGTTGACAGGACGATATATGTTATAACTAAACACCTGCTTAGATTGCAAAATTTGATATATATTCAAGCATGCAGCTACCAATGAAATACAGTGTATACACCTCTATCAACATTTATTTTTTATTTGTTTATTTTCAAAGTATTTTTCACATAACAATAACATGTACATTTCATTTTACATAATTAATTCCACTTTCACACATACTTTCATACTAATTAATATTGCTCTTTTTGTAAGTGGTATTTTATTTTTTTGAAATGTTATATAAGAAAGGAAGGAAAAACAGATAAGAGAAACAAGAAGCATAGTGGAAATAAAGACAGGTAAATGGACAGAAAAAAAGACAGAAAGACAGACAGACAGACGGAAAGATGGACAGACAAGAGGAGAAGTACCAGTATTAAACAAACCAATGTAAAGGATAGAAGTCTGGTAATAATACAGGTGTCAGTAGCTAAGTAATTAAGATAATACATCGTATGTTTCAATTTTGTCTCTTTTTTCCAAATAAATTTAAATAAGATCAAACATATAAACATATAATCAGCAAAATGAAGGTCTAGGAAATATCAATAAGCCTTTTCCATTTTTTCCACTCATTCTGGAAGTTAATGAGATATATTCGTCTTTACTATTTGCAATATATTTTTGAATACTGTAATGTTCTTTAATTGAATTTTTAATTCCTTGTATAGAAAAAGGCACTTTAAGACATCTTGTCTTGTATATATACTGTTTTATTATTAAAATAATACTGTTGTCACTTTTATTAAGTCCATTATAGTTATAAAAACCAAAAAGAAATGTTTGTTTGTTATAATCAAATAGAATAATCAATGCAACTAATAAGAACCCAAAATTTTGTAAAAGATTTTGTACTTTGTCACATTCCCATAATACATCCTCTATCAATATCGTTGCAATGCCCGCTTAACAATTTCTATTGATATATTGTGCGCATAATTATATCTCTAAATATACAAAATAATGTAATTAATTTGAAATTACCGCTGAAACTACATTTAAAATCTGGTCGATTTTTTTAATATACCTTTCAAAATTAAAACGTTTAGACTTAGTGACTAGTAACGGATACATAAGAAGCTACTGTAAATATTTAACAGTATACAAAAGTGCCATAACCACAAAAATTGAATAAGCTATCGGAAATTAGAAATGTCTGCAAACAATTATGGTCATGACCAGGCAGGTAGCCAGTTAATATGGTGTTTTGTTGGGTAGGCAGGTATAGGTAGGTAGGTAGGTAAGTAGGTAACAATATACATATGCTTAGTCTGCTATTGGAGCATTTGATTTTAACAATAGAATATGAAAATATAATATAAAATTCAAATATAAAGGATACATTTTCCCGGGCGGTGATGGTAGCATATTCTACCTTAAGAGTAGAATTGTAGTGTTTGGACACACACTTGCCGCTTAAAGTAGGTAAATGCACTAAGTCAGCCTGACATCCTCCAAGGTCAAGCCTTTTACTTATTACTAAACTCTCTCATTGTCGGCGTTGCGTCACTGTAACTGATGGAGATTGATGGTCACTGCGACTAAAAGTAAGTAACAATATGTAAGCATGACATTGTGTGATGTACATAATTCAAAAAGATCTGTCATGGATTTTCTGTGAACGATTCATTTGTAACAAGATCAATAATGTCATAAACGAAATGTACGTTTGAAAGATGTACTCAGAATTATAATGCCATATTCTTAATAATTCTGTGTTACCTTATAATGAACAGTTATTAAATATAAATGAGATCACACTATTATTTGTAGTATGATATTTTCCTACATGTTTAATAATATTTGTTTTGTAGTATGAAATTTTACTACTTCATTTATAAAATGTTCTTTTTACATAATTATGTTTTATACAGCAGGATATTTTACTTCATGTTTATAGTGATATTGTATTACATGCTATGACGTATGACATTGGCCTACATCTTAATGCCCTCAATTTTTAAAGGGTTTTCAGTGGTCAAACATTGCAGAACAAATTAATGTAGATAATGAATTCATAACCTTTCTTCGCAAGGATAAGTACCAGGATGCAGATAAGTCCATTATTTACCTTTTTATAGGATTACTTCTATCTCTACGCACACGTATGCACAGTCAGTAAATAAAAACGGTAAAGCCCATAGAAGGTATATTTTAAAATTGCTTCCAAGCAGTGATGGTGATATCTGTGTTGCTAGAATGTCCACCATGAGAGAAGGTGTTACCGAGCTCTAAGGAGGCAATAGTGACCACTAAGGTGCGTAATTGATCTTACAAAAACACAAATAACTAATTAGATAGTACCTTGATTGACAAATAGTCCTAACTTTTGTGAACATGGCCGTAGACGTCGTGCTGAACGTGCTCTTAATGAAGGCGCTACCATACCGGTCGGTGGAAATTCTATCAAGTACAGAAAGTGACATAAAGTTCCCGGTGTTTGTTGCCGCCGGCTTTAATGCCCTTGGTGATGTCATCCGATATATAAACGTTGTCATTAACATCCATTCAGCATCTCGCTTATGAAGCTGTTCATCAACACTAGCAAATCAGCAACCTGCTTGTATACAAGTGAGGCAATTACTTTAGTGATCCAGCGATGTTTACGAAGAACCTCTGTCTCTTTCACGGTAAAAGTATGGTATATTAGTCATATGTTAAGCAACCATTCTTGATCAGAATAAGGTATCTTACCTGCATAATATGTTAGCGGGCTTACACATATGGTTGACGCAAAGAAGACAGCACTGCGGTTCGTGTAACGTAATATCACATTTAAATGTATAATGTTGGACCATCGGTGACAGCTGGGAGACCAGATATTCACTTGTGTTAGTAAATTTATAGCGCATTAATCGGAACAACCAGCAATTTGTACACACTCACAAATACTTATCTATAGTGAAAAAAATTTCATCAGGTTGATGTCGCAGTCATAAATCTTCATAATGATCCAAATCATCATGTGGTGAATGCATATGTGTGTAACACAGAAACGCCACTTAAATGGTATAGCATCGACCCCTGTCACATAAACTGGTTTTCACATTCGCCTTATGGATCCACCCTAGTTCTTGGTTCAATTTTCGCATAGTGATCCTGCAGTGTCGTTACAGTTGTTACATACACTAGCAGTACTATTAATTGAGGCGCCTCTCCTGTCTACTGAAGGGCTGCTGCTAAAAAGATAAAGGGTTCATCCTTACTTTCCCTTTTTTTTTTTTTAATTTAACGTCCTTGCAACTACCAAAGTCACACGAGTACCGAGGGGGCCAACGCCGGAAAAAAAGAAGGTAAGAAAGAAGGATAGTCCATGTCCTCTTAGTAGAAAATACTGAAGAAAATCCCGAATTATACAGGGTCCTAGATAAGTCGGTTTTTGCAATCAACCTACAGTGGAACACAGCAGGTCTATTTTTGGTCAAGTGAATGTCCCCTGAAAAGAAGACAATGAAGAACTCACCCCAGATTCCACAGGGGGTGGGACATATTAGTCGCCTCGTACGAACCTGCAGTGGAATTTTTAGCTACCACAAGGCGAGGTAAGTTCATGTTTTAGTATACGTTTAGACATGTAGAATAGTTCACTGTCGGTGGATGCAAGCTTAAGCAAATTGTAATATAGTGTTTACAAACAGCAACAAACAATTTCATTAATATGTGTAACTTGTGGAAATTTCTTGACAGGAAACAGATGAAAATGACGAAGGAAACAAATGGTTTGGGTATATATTGCTCTGAACATGAGACAATGATACAGGGGATACAGTTACCATTCATAGTGATATGTGCCAAAGTGCCTAAAAACGATACCAAGGGCAGCGTTAACGAGGTACCTGATTTTCTTGGAAAGTTACCTTTAACAATCAAACGACTTCAGTTAGTGAACGTAGGAATATTTTAGATATTTTACATGGCGGTGAACTTCATATTTACTGGATATATTTATCTGCGTTCTGTGTTGAACATCTACGATAGACAAAGGCTTCTGGGGGATGGCTGATGTCAAAAGGTTATTTTGCGATGCTCTGTGGAAGATTATTCGGTGCGTATCTATCCCATTACTTTAAACCCATAAAGATGATAGTGCTTTCAACCTTTCTACATGTCCTAGAATTGTACAAACATAAAATACCTAACAGTGTCTTCAGTAATACCAAATGTAATTCACCAGTGTGGCTAATATTTTGATATCTTTCACGAGTGCGCTGTTAGATATTCTGTTTAATACATTTTTTAAGAAAACCCTCCTTAGGAACGCGAAGCGCCACATCAAGCTGATAGTACTTATTTCGATCCTTTTACCACTTCCATGTCTAAACAAACCTACGTGACAGAAAAAAAGGTCCTTTCCACAAAATAAATAATAGAATGTAAAACAAAAACAAAACAAAACCCACATCATTGAATTCCTTTAATAACTTATTTTAATAAAGTAGGTACTTGAGTTCATATCTTTAATAAATTTTACCAACCTACTATCATAATTTGATTGTTTATTAAAAGTCCAATTATATCAACTCATATCGCTACGCGTTGTTGACAAACGCCAGAACTAAAATGGTGGGGAGTTGGAAAGATGGAAGTTAATTAAATGTCATGCAAGGAATACATTTTGGGAATTAAGAAACGCATATTGTATGATGTATCAAACGTCGTAATTTTCAATATTTCTTTTTTCAATGTTCAATACATTTACAATAATTTGTAACTAATAATTGCAAATGTGTGTCAAACATTATATAAAATATTGCATGTATATTCATAAAATATAAAATTCGAACATAAATATAGAATTATTGATTATTGCAACGATTGACATGTTATGATATTGTGTCTCATGCAAATATATACCAATATGTCAAATTAAAAAAACTGACAGGATACATATGTATGCTAATATAGTATCGGTTTAGATCAAACAAGATAGCAAAGGGCATCAAATTGTATTTAAGCTGTATTTTATTGATACACATGTGACATATGTCAGGTGCTACAGAATAAAATCTCAGAGATATTTGAGATTACCAACCCTCGACATATGTCTGTTTGTAAATGGTGTGTAAGTGTATTTGCACTCTGATTTAAAACTATTCAATATGAGAGTGACAGATGCTGGCAGGCTATTCCAAAGTGGTGGACCACTGTATCTTTTTTGTCTGTTTTCCATCTACATTTTAAAATAATGTATAAGTTGAAATAACGATGATTATATTAACAAGTCATCTATTCATATTAAAATAACTTAATTTATATTCAAACAAACTGCTGGTGTAGTTATACAATATATCAAACTAATGAAGAAGTTTTGCAAAAAACGAGTAGTTTTGTCAAAATAATGTCATTTATGATTAAACCACTAATTTACCCTCTCATATCTTATAATAGGCTCCAAGCTCACATTATTTTCATGTCTTTCCCTGGTTACAGAACCACAAGGGGAAAATGAAACTTATCGATGAAAGCCACAAGAGGTTCCAAATTTGAACACATTCTTTGATTTGAAATATATCAAATATCTAAAATATATTAAATCGATCAATACTTTATGTGGAAATGACGGCTATTTCTTAAGAGTCTATAGAATAGACTTAGCCTTTAACAAAATTGAACAATGCCTCCAAATATAAGAAAATGGAATTCATATCTAGGACGTGGATGTTTTTGTCACGAGTACATCCTGAATAAATCAATAATATTTTTTTATTAGAAAGATGTTCCACTGTAAATGGAGAACCAAATATTATTTATTCGTCAACCAAAAGGATTTTTTTTTTTTTTTTTAAATATAAATAATTAATATTCAGTATCAAGTATCCAGGCGATACACATAAATATCCGTTTCCTGAAAAAAGTGTTTTCTGTTATTCCTCATCTTACTTAACAACACATATTGTCTGCATTGTTAACGAGAGATTCCGAATGTCACAAAAGCCAGATAATAGGTAGAAACGGGATCATTGCTGTTGTGATTAATGCAGCGGTGTTCTAGTACCGCAAAGGTTTTTTTCGAATACACCTGAATTCAGATTTTGCATACTTCTTAACTTCGTATATGGTAGATATTTTATAAGAAAAATATAAGTTTTATTTCCCAAACGGCAAATTACCATAAGAGTGAAATTCAAAGCAGGTTCATAGACTGATAAGTACGTCTGACACGTCGCAAGATATCAAAGGAAATAGGCATTCACCTTTTAGATAACCCGTATTCATGAGCAGTGTGCTCATTATAGCACTGTCACTGTAGAAGATTGGTGCTCGCAGCGACTGTCAGTAAGTAAATCCTGTATGATGTATGTTAAAACAAATGCTATTAGGATTTATGAGTCATATTCTAGGTTAAAATATTAGTTATGACGCATCAATTACCTGATATGAATTGTGATCAAACGTTTTTCATATTATGATATTTTATTATCCAGTCGGTATCGTATGACATTTATTGCGTTTCATTTAGTACAGTTAGCACATTTTTTTAAAGAAAAAATATAGAGTCATATTTTGATAACGTATTAGAAAGTATAACATTTATTGCATATCTTATATATTATAATATTGTTTTCAAGTGTTATGTATAGTATCACATTGTCCTCTGTGAAAATGACGTTATCCTTCAGTCTTAACACTTGGTATCAGAATACATGCGAGAACACGTCAAGGTTATAGATTGAACTTCATTAACCCAGATATGCTTCTAATTGTCTAAATTAATCAGGGACCACGGTGCCCGAGTGGTTAAGTTGTTTGATCGCCTACAAACCACTTGGTCAAGAGTTCGAGAGTTCAGAGAAACTAAACAAAACTGTATTAATGACATTGTGATCGAACAAGTATGCAAATAAATCTAGTTCGTTCAAATTAAAATTACTAAGAATTCGTTCACCATATGAAAAACGTCAGTCATGTTAATGATTAAATTTACCTTACTTTGGCACGCATCTCCTGCCAAAAGGGTTCATCATTTCAAAATCAATCAACTATCCATTATCAATAATACTAACAAATATCTTAATGAATTGATAAATATAAGGTATCACAAATTGTCATATAAAGCTTATTCAGATTAAATAAGGGAGGTAAATATCGTACAGACTATTTTTTAAGTAAATGCAAGATAGCTGGTAAAGTAAATGAAATGAACTGTAAATAATCATTACATTAACGGACACACGCATACATAAAGGACGCATGCACTCTAGTCCCATCCCACACAGCCACCAGCCAATCAACATACTGACCGATCCATCCATTCTGCTGTTTAAATACGCTATGTGGAGTTCGTCTGTACTTTTCAATTCGATCAATTCATTTGAAAATAAAAACTGCACTTAAAGTACATTTTGTACATGTTAAAGCATACAATGTACCATCGAGACAGGGTTTTTGCTGTTTATGCAAGCTAATAAAATTTATAGTACGATGTTCAAAAACAACTCATCGCACATTTATGAACAGGGAACAGACGAAAATGACGGGAATCAGAAAAGGTTTGGATATCAACCGTTCTGAACATGAAGCAATATCAGTTCGAGACAACGACAAAGAAGACACAGATGAAGGAGGTCATTCCAAAATTGCCCACATGCAGGAACAACAATCACTTATAACTGAACTCCGGCATAATAGAGTCATCCGTTCCAAGGTCATACTTAGCATTTGTGCTACCTTCGTTTACGCCATGTTGGTTTGTATTTGTCGCATTGCATTGTATATTAACAATATTCGGGTAACATTTCGCTTATAACGTTTGATATTATTGATGTTGGAAGGTAGTGATACTTAATTAAAGGAATACTTTAACGAATTTTACCTTTTTTGGGGATTTAGGTTCAAAAACATAAAAAATGTTTTTCCCAAAATAACACATAAATTCCATGTGAAAATAACAGAATCTTATATGTTTAATTCCCCATATAGCTGAACATACACTATTTTATTTTGGATTCCAAAATCGATTTTGTAATCTTATTTAATAGCTTTCTAAATCTAAGAGAATTATTACATCATGTTTGTTAGCTAACATATTATTGAAATACCAAATTAAAAGAATAGCAGCTACATCAATCAACGTCTTTGTCAGCAGTATACCTTAATGTATATAGTAAAGCTCCTTTCAAATATCGTGGAACTTTTTTTTCGATTTTTAATTTCGATAATTTAATTTCACCAGGGATGGTGCAAAGGCCAAACAGGCCCAGCATTTCTGGACATTCTGTATATATCCGGCACAGACCTGGAAAAGGGATCCGCCTTTATGACGTCATACAGCACGGGTAGTGCGATAGGATCCATAATCGGCGGATCATTTTACTCTAAAGGGAACCGATACCTGTTATTAGTTGTAGCTTTGGCGATTTACAGCCTTACACGTGCACTCATTCCTTGGTGTGTACTTTATGAACTGATGATAACAGCTCACCTGGCCCATGGTATTTGCGCGGGGGTGATAAATGTAGGTGAGTATTTTTGATGAATGAAATATTCATTAAATGCTTTGGTTGTTTTATATAACCGCTGAGGACTCTGTTGTAGTCACACAAATATGGCGACAATCAACTTCCTGTTTAACATTTTAGGATTCTTTTGGAATTAACTGTTAGTTTCTTCCAAACATGCAACGTCAGCTAACATCAAACCAGATATATTATTCGACAGTCTTACAAGATCGAAATAGTCTTACATGATCGGTATAGCGATTATCATAATGTTGCCACTGTCATGATAGGTTATTTAACAGAAGCAAATGTCAAAAAGAGTCAACGTACAATCAACAAAATAAAAAATTTCTTTCTTCGTTTCTCAAAATAAAAGAGAAACATAAGCCTCACAAAAACCCGGAAAGGGAAACTATTTTTTCTTGAATTTTCCCATATGTCTCCGTGTAAACCTTTCCTTTGTTTATAACTGGCCATAGTTTTATCGATTTTGAATTCGAATGACGTTTTTTTTAATAGGATGATGCTATAGTGCTTGTGGAAACACGACACATATAATTATGAAACTTCATTAATACCATTTCCGCTTTTCTAGATCACATGCTTCACTAATAATCATTTCAACGAGTTAAAATCTTTAATGTTTCGAAAGCATACGTATCTGTACTTGTATGGTCTTATAATGTGTAATAAAGTGTATTTATTTGAAACATTTTTTTCAGTGGTGCTATCCGTTGCGATTTCAATCTGGGGAGCTACATCACGAGGCAGGGTGTATCTAAACATGTTCCTACTTTCTGACAGTGCAGCCGGTCTGATCTCTCCAATGGTTACGAGCCCATTTTTATTGCCGAGAACAAAAGACATTGTCATGCACAACGGCCCAAGGAATTCTACCGTTGCCACAACAAGCACTTTTATTATGGAGGGAAATGCTGCAACTGCCAACGCTACTACCAACTCAAACATAATACAAATTGAAATGCCAGTATCCAACGTTTATATTGCATATTCTATCTCAGCCGGATTAGCTTTCCTAGTAACCTTACCATTCATTGTATTGTGTGCCAAATGGCCTAAAAACGGTACCAAGCGCAGCGTTAACGAAGTACCTCATTTTCTCGGAAACTTACCTTTAACAATCAAACGACTTCAGTTATTGAACGTTGGAATATTTTCGACATTTTACATGGCGGTGTACTTCATATTTACTGGATATTTGCCTGCGTTCTGTGTTGAACATCTACGATGGACAAAGGCTTCCGGAGCATGGTTGATGTCAGTAGTTTATTTTGCGATGCTCGGTGGCAGAATATGCGGTACATATCTGGCTCACTTCTTTAAACCCATGAAGATGCTTGTACTTTCTACCTTTCTACATGTCGTTGGATTGGTAGGACTTTCCGTCAGTGGTGTCTTCCTGGCTGATGTGGGGATCTGGATATCTGTATGCGTCATAGGTATTGCTTTGGGTTTCACATGGCCAAGCCTGTTGAGTTGGACAAACGAGAATCTAATTCCAGTTCGCGGTAAAGTTACTGCCTTCATCTTGTTAATGGGATCCGCTGGAACATTATCGAGTCCATTGTTGTTTGGATACATGATGGAAGAGGTCTCGCCTATTTGGTTTTGTTTCTTAAACTTGGGGAAGACTTGTATAACTATTGTAAATGTGCTATTAATGTTTGTGTACACAAGATCTGTCAGCAGCAAATCAAGGATGGAGCAGAACAATAAACACTCCGACAGTTGAAACTAGACACTGGCTGCTCACACGTGTTTAAAGTACCAATGTGACTAAGTGAAATCTAAATAAATCTTAAGTAACACGGCATTTTACGAGAGCCGCATTTGATGTCATTTACATCACTAACATTCAACCTTATTCAGACACAAAAAGAACCAATAAGATATTTATGTTATTCCAAAAACATTGCTTCCGTACTTTAAATAAAAAAAGTTAAGAAAGCTTAATTTTTATGATAATAGAATAACTCTTCCTTCAGCATATTTGAAAAACCTTATCTCCATATAACTACGGTCCGACTAAGTAAGCACATTCAAAAAAGACAATCAAAATATTTCCCGTATTTTAAACCTAGGAGGGCATTAAATAAATTATTTAAACTATCGAGAGACTCCTGTCGTCAAATAGAATATGACGTTTATGATACTTATTGATTTCGCTGAAGGCGATCTAGGCAATTGGCAAATTGAGAGCATTCTGAATTGTGTTTTTCTCAGAATGAGTTAGGTGTATCAGATCAAGCTTTCTAAAACAATTAGCAGCTTGAAATTCAAAATGAAAAAAAAACCCACTCTTTCTTGGCTTGGATGTCTAAAACATACTAAAAGAAAGACGAAATACTAGCTAATCATTCTTCTTTTTGTATAACAATCTTTCCGAATACCAGTTAACGACAAGGATTTTCACCTGGCACTGCATTGAAATCCAGGAATTCTTTAAATACTGGCGGAAATATTGAAGTGAGCTACTATAATTATAAAATGTTTACAGGCAAGAATTATGTTCCTGTCGAAAAGGACAACATTGTTAGTATGCATTCCTCATTTAAGCAGAACATCGTAAAAATTTGAAATCATGTTGTATTTATCCCATGCAATTGTGTCAAATAACGGCGAAATAAGAAATAAAACATATTGCAAATACCAAATAAAGAAAGTTCAAGGCAAGAATACTTGTATTGGTCTCGGGGAAACAACTTAGTTTTTGTTGCAAATTATGTATTCGTTTACAATGATTATTTTGTTGTCGAAAGCTCCTATAAACTTAACAAATAGTTATTGGAAATAATCAAAATGCGTTTTTGTTTTCTAAATATTTAAAAAAAAAAAGCAAGTGTAAAGTAATCGGTTAAATCTATTTTAGCAGGTGTACAGTTTATTTGGATAAAATACATATTTGCAGGTTAACAGTTAGGATCACATTCATATTAGCAGGTGTACAGTAATGGATTACATCCATATTAGCAGGTGTACAGTAATGGATCACATCCACATTAGCAGGTGTACAGTAATGGATCACATCCATATAAGCAGGTGTTCAGTAATGGATTACATCCATATTACATCCATATTAGCAGGTGTACAGTAATGGATTATATCCATATTAGCAGGTGTTCAGTTATGGATTACAACAATATTAGCAGGTGTACAGTAATGGATCACATCCACATTAGCAGGTGTACAGTAATGGATCACATCCATATTAGCAGGTGTACAGTAATAGATTATATCCATATTAGCAGGTGTTCAGTAATGGATTACAACAATATTAGCAGGTGTACAGTAATGGATTACATCCATATTAGCAGGTGTACAGTAATGGATTATATCCATATTAGCAGGTGTACAGTAAAGGATTACAACCATATTAGCAGGTGTACAGTAATGGATTACAACCATATTAGCAGGTGTACAGTAATGGATTATATCCATATTAGCAGGTGTTCAGTTATGGATTACAACAATATTAGCAGGTGTACAGTAATGGGTTACAACCATATTAGCAGGTGTACAGTAATGGATTACAACCATTTTAGCAGGTGTACAGTAGTGGACCAAAACCATATAAGCAGGTGTACAGTAATGGATTATATCCATATTAGCAGGTGTACAGTAATGGATTATATCCGTATTAGCAGGTGTTCAGTAATGGATTACAACAATATTAGCAGGTGTACAGTAATGGATTACAACCATATTAGCAGGTGTACAGTAAGAGATTACATCAATATTAGGGTGAAGTTTTGTTTTTGTTATTATGAGACTAGATTCACAAGTCTTACTGCCGTGGTAGCAGACGTTGGTATTTTTAATAAAACAAATAAGTTGAATATTCAATACCTAGATCTAACAAACTATAATCTTTATCGTACCATCTTGTAGCAGCTGTATGTATAAATGTCCTAATTACTGTTGTTTGTGATGATATTCAATGCGATTCAATACTAGATACAAAGAGTGTTAGCATGGTACAGTGAAGCATCTGTATGGATGAAATCTACATATTCGTGTCGATTGTATCAATGTATGTGCATATTTGTCACCCTTTGTTAGATGCCCGTTGTAATATCGCCTCATAATCTGTCTCATTATCTGTCAACAATCCTCCGACTCCTATGGCAGCTCCTGAGATGACGGTGATATTGTATTATATCGTTATATCGGAGATAAATCCTGAAACAAAATCAAATTTAGTGTCAATACTAATGTTACGGTTACTAACTTATATTGTTTAATTGATTCATTGTTTTTGATGATTTGAAATTTAAGCGTACCTATTTATATAAGTTTGAACTATTAACCAGTAATGATTCAGGGACAAGGCTGGATGAGTGGTAATGATGGGATAATGAAAAAAATGCATCGAATCGAAGCTCGATAAGGAGACCATGCAGTCATTTTTACGAGTAAAGTAATTATATTCTATGATTTTATAATAGTTGTTCTCAATTTAAAATTTATTTGATTCCCAAAAGGGTTTTTGACACTTTCTTCAAATAATTAATTTTCCTGTCGCCCACTAGACTTGTCCAGTGACATTATTCCTGGCTACACCGAGCATAAAGAATATTTTCCAACAGCATTCATAGACACAATGTTGAGATAGTTATTTACTATCTGTTCAAGGTCATTCAGCTAGGGTGGCTAATCAAGTCCACCAACAGAGAAGTCTGAGAACGTTCAGTTGTCTCTATCCTAGTTATTTGTGTCATGGTGCCAGAGAGAATGTGACACATGTGTCCCTTAAAAAAAATATGGAGAGAGTAGCAAATTCAAAGCGATGTTAACTCACTTTGAATGTCAAAAGGACAAAATTTTGCTTGAGAACATTTCTCGATTTCTTTGGGTCAGTTTGGGGAACATAGGCACAACAATGCATTCAGATTCCAGAATTCTTACATCATCCGACTTTTACCACAGCAATGAAATAAAGATGACACAACACTGTTTATTCTGAATATATGAAGAAAACGTTTTCGATAAGATATTTTTCACCGTAATTTAAACAATGTCCTAGTCAACTGCATTTAACCATAAATGCATTTTTTGTCGAATTAGCTATCATTATGTTCTGGATATATTTTGATGTACTTTTCTTAATATTCATATTCATATTAAGAAACTTACATCAAAATCTATGCATATGAGGCTTTATAAACTCATTAAGTCACATATCATTCAGGTTTCTTCCTTATTTAGTCAAAATGACTTGGAACATAAATTAATTTCAGTCTGGTGATAACGACCATCTTAGATTTTTCAATTTTGAGTCATTATCCGCCAAATTAATTTGGGCATACAGTATATTTGTGCAGGGACAGTACGTCCCTGATTTGTGTGAGTTCAGGACCCTTTAATACACCTGCAAACCTGAGTGTCATAAATTACTATAATTTGTCTGCGGCACATTAATGTTGTGAATTTGTCCTCGAGGAATTAAATCAGACATGGTTTACATAAAATACTTCCCCTAAGTACAAGTCCTCAATTGTAGCCTAAATGTGGGGTTCTTAATCTGCCCACGCATGAATTTTATTCAAACTTTGCAATTTGAATGTTCAGACGAATCCACTTTAGAAACCGATATTATTATTTTAAAGATTGTAAAGAAAAGGCAGAAAGGGATTGTATTGGTGTTTTCCATGAAAATTAGGGGGTACCCCGATATTTGATGTCATAAATACACACACTCAGGATTGATTTTTGTAGATGTTTCAAATTATGATTGTGGAGAAACTAAGCATTCCATTAATATGTTTTTTGTATGTTTTAAGTCAGTAATATAAATATCAACAGGCTTACCATTACCACACTCCTTTAAAAATATCGACCAAAACAATTACACTTGAACATTCAAAGTCTATTTTTATAGGTTTTCTTAGATGTCTCATCTTCGTAAGTCTTTAAAATAGTTTTAGGGTATTGTTAACATTAGTGATTTTTTTAAATTTAAATTGAGAAACGGGAACATAGTCTACTAGCCTGTCTTATATACCTACCCCACTAACACAGACTGATTGAAAATGGACCTAGAGACATCCTTGAAGGCAGCTACCTTTTGATGCCATGCTATATATACCCCAGTAATATTTTGTTTTCATCATCATTATCATCATCATCATCATCATCATCATCATCATCATCATCATCAATATATTGTCATCGTCATGATCATCATGATGTGCCATCTTCTTGCATCATCATCATCATCATCATCATCATCATCATCACATTCGCATCAGATGAACGCAACTAATAACATCTTTCCATGACATACCCCAGTATTTAACCACAACTCAAGTATATACAAAATCTCGTTTACTGAAGACAACATCACCCTTTGCTCACAACACACATTTCCTGTCTGGCTGCTGCCTTGCAAGCTTTCCTTGCAACTTGGCCTGTCTTGCTTAATTCTTTTTTATTTCTCCTTTCATCTTCATTAACTTTTTTTACATTGTCTTACAACAGTTTCTTATATCATACTACTATAGAATTCTTTCCAGTTCAAAACATGTATACGTATGTCTAGATCTTGTTTAGCAAGCAGCAGGATATATAGCGGCACATTTTAATCCTTAGGTGACTTTGAGGTTTGGGTGCATCAACATTCATCTGGTTTGCTCAGAGGTAAGATTCATTCTAGACATAAATCACAAACAATATACAATGTCTGGATTCAGTATGATCCACAGATCCTATCACGGACTATTACTGTACTTGCCCCACTGGTAAGCGACTATTAATGTACTTGCCCCACTGGTAAGCGACTATTACTGTACTTGCCCCACTGGTAAGCGAACTGTTGGAATGTGTGCACATTATAGTTTCTTGGAAATGCTTCAAAGCAAACTTCATCAGAACGCTCTTGTAAACGTGTGTCTAATTTTAAGAAGTCAGTTTGTTTGCTAATATCGGGTATCGTCTGTGATAGCCCAGTTGGTAGAGAGTCCAACTAGTATTTTGAAGGTCTTTGGTGTGTGTCCCATCCAGTCTAGTTTGTGCGCTGATCATTTATATATTGCACACACACACACACACACACACACACACACCTCCCCCTTTAGCTATGGGATGATGGGTGATTGATACAATAGTATTGAAATAAACCAAACACTGATAGTTTTCTGACAAAATGCAATACAAGTAGTAGGCAAGTTAAGGTAATATAACAAAATCGGTCTATTTGCCCTAAACGCCCCTCCTCCTCCCCCAACCCCTTCTTGAAATCTGGCATGCATTCATACTATCTGACATTCGTTTTTCCAAATTAATGGATAGTGATACAAGTTATGCATATAATGACAGTAAAACATTATAGTTGGAAAATGTACATTACATCTGTGACCTAGATTAAGATAAATGCAAGCTTGTGTTGCAGAGATTCAACAGTATGGAAAAAACGCTTTCATTTTGTTTAATTTCAATAAAAAAATATAGTTGATAGTAAGATAATCAAAATAAATTTTGATAAAATATTTTAATGAGACACTCTGTGGAACTTTGAAAATTTGTTGTTTGAAATAACAAACATTAGCAATTTCAACAGAATAATGATGAAAATCTGTTCAGTTCTTGTTCACCGTCAACTAAACTATCTTACCGATACATTCAAATTTGGTATTGTTTTAACTGCTAGCATGTCTGTAATCAATATAAGCATTTTTTATGGGAAAACATACAGTAAGAGAGATGCTATGGAGCTTCAAAAGTAAGTAACATGCATTAATTTGACAAAGTGCATGTCAGGTCCTGTGTGGCTTTTCTTTTTGCATAACTTTGAATAAAAGTTATTGTTTATGTTCAGACATGGTATGATTAAAGTACTTGTTAAGTTTCATGAAAATCCGTGTGTGGGCAGGGTCTATGGTAATTTTAACATATGCAAGAGCCCCAACTTTGTAACGTTATAAATGATTTTTTACGGAACTTCCCATGTTTTTGCTGTATTCTATTTCGGAACAATTGATACATGGATGTTTCAATAAATTGATCTTAGTACAATTGACGAGTCCTAAATGAACGAGTTGGCCATATGGTACCGTAAGACGGCTTTCAAATAGGTGATTTCTGTATTCCTAGTTCTTGAGATTATTATTACCAATTAAGACATACAACATTATTTATGTTACACTCAATATCGAAACCAATAGAGATGTACTTAGTTGCTATAGCTTATGACACCACCAAGAAGGGAAGGGAAGTTGCCAGGACACCGAATGCACGATTGTAGGACACAAAAAAACGTAACCGCTCCATTAATCAAAGGTGACATACTATCGATAGGGATACTTTACCAATCACAACCTTTGACGCGATGTTAGCGATGCCAATGAAAGACATAATATGAACATCTTCATCGGCCGGCATTTGTAAATCACTTGCAAATACTGGTAGAAAATGAACATTTCTGATAGCTCTCAAAGCTGATAAATTTCAGTGTTACAATCTGTTCTTCTACAAGCAGTTTGAATGGGGCCGACGTGGTCCCTCTGTTCAAGCAGAAATATGCTTTGGACAAACGCAGTTATTAAAGATATCAGCATATTACTATAACCAAAGCTTTTCGAACAAGTTATTTCTGACTTACTGGCAGAAAATGTGAATCGAAGCTGCCATTCTTGTTAACCCTTAGGCCAATGGTACTCAATATTGTACAAAACAGAGGGTATGGACCTCTTGGGCAGATCTAGAGGTGCGGGGCAAAATGAGGGAAATAAATGAAATTCTTGAAAATACCACACCTTCAGTACCGGTAAACGGATTTTAATCAAATTCAGTCTTGAACATCCTTTTCCCTGAAATGGGAATTAAATGCATTTTGCTTAAAAATCTTTACCCTCTCATTTGATTTAAAGTGTCGAGAGGGCAATGTGTTCATATTTTGTAAAGATGTACAATGTAGCAAGGCTGAAGGACTGAGACCACTAGAGAAGAAATATTGATGCAAAGTTTAAATAGAACTGATTGAGATTCCCGCTATATAACCAAATACACACATATAGTTGGCTTGAACAGGCAAAAACAATACATCAATACTACCAAGATTGGCTCCGGGGTCCAGCCCTGCTCCTCCGGATTTAGTCCCTGGATATTAACACAGGCGTGGTTGAAAATCTCTCCCTATAACTATTTAAGAAATTTGGTCGACCCCGACATGAGGCTTCAGCTCCTGGTCCATAACATGAAAACTGTTGAAATTCCTGCTCTGTCACCATGTATGCAATTAAAAAGCATGTTCATGAAAACAAGAATAAATTCATTCTAATTTTCCTAATGGGATGAATAGAGGCAAATCTTTAAAGGACAACTTCTGCGGTATAAATAACTTTATGTATGGATGTTATAACAGAATTCGATTTGAAGAACTCTTATGCTAAGGGGACTGAATATTGTGAATGAAAAGTGTGGTCTCTTTTGAAGAAAGAGGGCGAGGCTTATTTGGAAAATGGAAGTTAATCTGTGCAGACCACTCCTTCAGCATGAATGAAGGGACTTCGTCAGGATCTGAGGTAAAGCATTCTTTGGATAATTGCACTATATGCTGTATAAACGTGAAATATGCTTCTCCAGTATGTTGAAAAGAGAAATAGAATATTGAAAACACATATTTTTTTTATTATGGAGAAGAAATTTTAACCAAATCTTATCTGCTTGTCCACTTAGTTAAGTGTACTCAATTTTTAATATAAACGAAGGGTTTGTCCCAAAACCAACCGCGTCCTCCTTTTTTGACGGGCATTAAGTTGAGTATATATAGTTTACAGCTCTAGTTAGGTCTAAAACCCATCAGATCGATTTAATTTGGTCAAATATTGTAGAGATACTTTTTCAATGTGATTTGAATTCGGATTCAATAAGAAATCTAAGATGACTGCCGTGAATTCAACTTGATGTAAATAGTTCAAACAAACGTTTCAGGCCCTTTGGGCCTCTTCGTTTATGATTTCAAAGCGAGTGCGAGGGGCGACAATTCTGGTTATGCGGGTTTAAATATATATTCGTACTTTTCATAAAGTATTAATACTAGGATGAATATAACTATTATTTTAACTTCATTTAATGTTAAGGTATTTATATTCAACCAAATCCTAGAATTTATTGATAAAATACGTCCGTTATCAATAAATACGAAAACAACATACCAAGATGGCGCGGAATGAAGAGAAACAGCTCGGCAGACTGAACAGGTTGCTTCTAAAACAGAACAAAGAAGGTATTGAAGGTCAAAATTAGTCTTCCCGGTTGAAAAAGCATTGCTTTTATTTTGAGTGGTTTTTCATGCTAACCTCAGTATTCGTTATAAAAGATTAAACAAAATAATAGCGTACGCGTCCTTGCGTTTCCAGTTTTGACGGATTGCATAAGGATTATTTTTTATTGTAGGAATTGTATTTTAATACAACAGGGCACAAAAATGTGCTACAGAATGAGTCCATATTTCCTGTAAAATATTATTTTTGATAAACCTCTCCAATGTCAATGGCTGGCATTAATCAGATGAAGATAAATGTGTGAAATGTGATAAATTTTTCATTTTGATTTATGTTGTAGAGCAAGAAAAGAAGAACCCAAGGCGGCCAAGGCTTGTAAGTTTTCTGTTCTGTGCATCAGAATATCAAAGCGAAAATACCTAGATGTACATTTAGCAAATTGAACAAGCAAAAATATAACCCAAAAGTATTGAAGAAAGCTCTGAGGACATGAATCATGCTTAACAAGCTTAAATAGCAGATCTAGACTAAGTTGATTGCTGATGACTTTACTATCTGTCTAGCTTATTTATTTGTGTTTTGACTTGTTTACATGTAGTGGTTTTTGAGTCTTTTATTAAAGTTAAATACACTAATGCTTTTTTAATGCCATATTTGTCTTGATATCTTGTCATAGTTAAATTCCTTCAACTGACATACGTTTCTCCTGGTTTTACACTGAATAAGTTCTATGAAGCCTCAGCATATATATATACATATACATATTCTGATTTTCTGAAGCAGAACCAAACCTGGGTTGTAAATATTGTTGTATTTGGGGCAAAGACAAAGAAAAAGGTGAGAGGAATATATGTACATTGTAGCAGAACTGGATTGGGTCATTTGCTGGCAGCTGAGTGAACCAGGTAGCTCAATTAGAAGAGCATCCATCTACACTTTTGAGCAACGTCCTGGGTTCGAATCCTGGTCTGGCTGTGCATTTTTCCTCTACTGTTACAGTGGTGTCTGTGATCAATCCTTGTTTCAAGTATTGGGTGAATACTAATACCCGAACCTGAGTTGCAAATAGTGCTGTCGTGGGGATGAAGACTGATAAAAATCAGGGAGGAGTGTATTGGAATAGGTCGATTGCCGACAACCAAGTAGCTCAATTGGTAGAGCGTCCTTATAGAGTATGGAGGGTCCCATGATTTTCTCTCTTTCCTGTTTCACCCTCGTCCCCAAAGTACACTTTTATTTGTTTAACTTCTTCAAATATGGTTAAATAGGGATGATGATTCTACTTCATCATCCTCGAGTTGTGAATGCTATTCATTTATGCAGGCTGACTGAATTCCCTTATGTCCATATATTGCTTCTTGATCTGTTCAGAATTAGTGAGTTCCCTTGTATAATTATATTGTCTCTTATTTGCCAGACTGAGCAAGTTCCATTGTGCCCAAGTGTTGCTTCTTGATTTATCTAGGCTGAATAACTTTCTTTATGTTGTTTTTGTTGAAAACTATTCTGCTGGTCCTGAAAGACATGACTTTTCCAAAATTATGTTCACCTTCGTCATATCACCTCGCTGTTCTGTAATTTACCTTTTTATATGTGTCATATCATTCATTAAGACAGTAATTTGGTGGTTCTGTTATGCCAAAATTTCTCACCAGACACACAATGTCTCACTAAGGTGAGAAATCATGCTAAAATTGCTGTGTTTGCAACATTATTTCTCATCCCTCTTCCAGGTAAGTAATTGTGCAAAATACAAAGGCATCAATGTTTTCTCACCAGGTATGATTTTTTACCCAACATTTCTCTCTATATATATAGATTGTATCGTGGTACAAACTGTTGTGGGTATCCCCACAACAGTTTGTACAACGAAACGATCTAAAAAGCTTCATTCCATAAAAGAAAGTATACCCAGAAACATTTATGTTATACAGTACATGTTGCAGTGTTATCATACTGATGTTCTCCATTTATCATGTCAGGATGATCTACACTCTAGTGAGGCCATTAAGAAGTGGATCCCAAGTATAAAGCGGGATATTGACTTCTTTCTTAAGGTAGGTGACATATGATTTGTACTGTGAAGTTTGAAATGTTCACCAAGTCGTATCTACACTCTTTTTACTATTGAGCAAAAGGTGTGAAAATTGGGGATACAAAAATGAATATATAATAACATAAGTGTTCAAATAACCAGAAGGCAGATTCAACAGTAAGGAAATGAATTTTGTTTTAAAAGAGAATTTAGATTGTTGCTCTAGGGTGATTATTGTAACATTTTATTAATGTTTAGTGCTCTTATTTTATTCAGCAATCGCAGGTACCCTGTTACCCAGACAGTAAAATCCAGGAGTGTAACAGTAAGATAGACTTCCTGCGTCGTCAGTATTGGGCCTTCGTCAGGAAGTTGCGCCAGCTTGACCCAAGCACAAGAGATACGCCCTGGACAGAGCGACACTATGCCGCGAAGAAACGCCAACACTCTCCCACTCATCAGGACACAGGTACAATATATTAGTGTACAGGAAAGAATGTATTCAGTTACTTAGGTACCTAGTTTGAAATAAGACATATACTATACAGGTACACACACAGTTTTCTAGCTCACAAACATCATTTTCTGAACACCAGTGACAAATATCAGATCCTTAGTTTTCAGTTCAATCTAAGATCCTTTATGATGGTGAATACAAAGCAGTTGTTAGTATGTTATAGTGAAATTGCATTTCACAGAAATGATGTTATTAATTTATTACCAAGTCAGAATGCCTTAGAAAATTGTTTTGAGACTAAAATAATACTATAATATTGGTGACAAATTGTTGAATTTTTACATTGATGATAAATCATTGTTTATCTGCATGACATCCTTAACAGTGTATGTTTTGCTTGTGCAGATGAGGAAATCCAGAAGAAACAACAGTGCATAGACAACAGTAATTCTGGAGTGATCTCCCCTGTCTATACATCCTCCACAACAAATCCAATCTCTCGTGGATCAGTTACCTCCCTTGACAAAGTTGTCTCCCCTGACGAGACAGTACCAGATGTAGTTGATCGCTACCCTGATTTCCGTCCTATTTGTACTCCAATACTTGATGGTGACCGTTTATACCAAACCCTATATGGATACCAGCCGACACCATGTTTTATAGCTGATGGGACTGTGAGCCTTGACCTCCAGGATCAACCACTGATTTTTTGCACCAAAGACAACTCTGTGGAAAGCAATTCCATTAATGGCATGAGTGTATCTGTTAATGATGTATTTAACTCACAGCTACCCTGCGATGATCAGACAAGCACACATTTAAATGACCATAATGGCCAGGATTTATCACAGGACAGTGGGGATTCTTCAATTATACCTAGGACTAGAAATAGGGATCCAACTGGAAATTCTCAAAGTGACAACACAATGACCAACTGTGGTTTCATTCCGTACTCTGACTCATCTGATGACAATGATTAGGGCTCACTCAATTTGTTGATTATTTGCTTATACTTTCATAATACATAATTTCACAATACATAATTTGTTTTGAGTGTTTCTTTGTATTTGATAAATCTTAAACAAATCTAAATATAAACAGCTGACATATGTACCTTCAGCATGTGCAACTCCACAGTCACAACGAAAAAATAAAGTAACCCTACCACTCAAAACAATTCTGGCCCTGGAACCATGTACATCCAGACTTGTATCAATAACCCAAAAATGGTACCAATTAAATCCCTATTAGATATCCAATGGAACCTCACTCATTTAGACATCAATACCAATACAATTTGTAATCTTGAAATCTTGATTATAAATAAATTCTTGTAAGTGATAAACAGTTAAATCTCATTTATTTAGACATAAGATGCTAGTAATCTAGAAAATGTATGAAGGATATACTCCACTTAAACAAACTGTGCCCACAATATTAAAGATGCTCTACTGTATATCATACATACCAGCACTTTCGTTTTCAGCAGAACACCTGGAATGATTTTCATGAAACTGTTCTCGGGCTCAATCATCGATTCCGAGTTCACACTAATTTTCTTGTAACTGGCTGAAAGCAAGTGACAGAATCAACAAGAGTACCGCGGGGCGGAACAATATATGCCCCTCGAATGCCATATAGTGTTATATACTTTCTTACATTGAAATAAGATCTGCATCATTCAAAGAGTGGTTAGCCGACATGCTATAAAAATGTAGGAGAAAATCTCCGGACAAAAAATCAAATACTGAAATGAACAAAGGGCAATTACTTTTGGAAAAATTGTCGAATGAAAGTTCTTTTAAGGGAGACACAACTTCATATCATGATTATAATGTATACCAAGTTTCAAAGAGATCCGTTGAAAAATGTAGTAGGAGATTGCCGGACAAAAATCAAATACTGAAATGAACAAAGGACAATAACTTTTGAAAAAAATGTTGAATGAAAATTCTTTAAAGGGAAACACAACTTCATATCATGATTAAAATGTATACCAAGTTTCAAAGAGATCCGTTGAAAATTGTAGGAGGACATTGCCAGACAAAAATCAAATACTGAAATGAACAAAGGGCAATAACTTTTGAAAAAATTGTCGAATGAAAATTCTTTTAAGGGAGACACAACTTCATATCATGATTGTAATGTATACCAAGTTTCAAAGAGATCGGTCGAAAAATGCCAAACCATAATACTCCCGTCAAATTTGACGGGCGTATAAAAACTAGATTTTAAGCCTTGAAAACACTTTTGGCTACAAGTCTCTCCAAAATTCTTCCAAATCAAATGTGATTCTATTAATTTATCACTGGGAGAATAATTTGGACTAGAGCACAGAATCTGATTTTGAGCCCGAGAATAGTTTCATTAATACTGGTCCTGAAATGTATGTCAGAGATGTTATTTCTCATTTATATCACTAAATTTGTGAAATTTACACAAAATGTGATGTTTTACAACTGGCCTAATACAAGAATTCCACGGAAGTGGAAGTGTCGCCTGCGCAGGAGGCTGGGAAATTGTGCTTAGCACTGCATGAAGTTTGAGTTTGATCGGCCCAAGGAAACTCAAGTTATTGCATGAAAACAGATTTTCTATTTATAGTAACAGTAACCTTGACCTTTGACCTTCGGACCTGAAAAGCAATCCCAAGAAAGCACATTTGGTAAGGAAGCACTGCATAAAGTTTGAGTTTGATCGGCCCAAGAAAACTCAAGTTATCGCACGAAAACCTCTGTGCAGACGCCGCTACCAACGCCGACATAGCAATACCTATGTGTCACCAGCTTTTCGCAGGCGACACAAAAAACAACACAAAGTCTCATTAACAGCTCACAGTCGCCCAGTTTTATTCCACCATGATATGTAGTCAAATTCGTACAAAAATTCAATATCACATTGAACACAACGTCCAACGACAAGAGAACAATGACCGGAGATAACTTGTGGTTCATAACACAGTATTCTCACACATAAAAAACTTAAAATGACTCCAACAATAGCATTACAACCAACCTTGACAATATTTCAAAGTAACTTAAGAGAATCAAATAATAAACTGAAAGACACTTTAACAATAAAGGAGTCAAATCTACTTTGCCTATTTTACGATAAGGAAATTAGATTACTCGCACAATTTAATAATAAGGAGTCTTAAATTATTGGATTGCATTTAAACTTGTAGTGCATAGTCTTTCATTTAAGTTTGCAAAAATAATTGTGGTCAGCTGGTACCTTTGCATTAATTATACATTGTACTACTTGTTTCGTAGATTAAATGAAGTAATAGCTAATTTTAATACATGTAATACAAAAAGTTCCTTAAATGAAAAACACTTGACAACAATTTTAAATCCAAGTATTACAGTTTCTCTGAAAATCATATTTTTATTTATTATTTAGGACGTGTTTGAAGACTGGTCTGCTGGTTTGTTTAAATATAGATATTATAAATATGTGTATCACAGATATACATGGTTTACATACTTATTTATAAGACAAGCTTCACTATATAAGACTTATTCAGGATATATAAACCTTTTTTTCCTTAATACAAATATGTATCGTAGATTTATAAATGGAGCATACAGCCTTAAATCATAATGGTGTTTCAGCTCTTTTTGTAACTACCGGTAGTCATAAATATACATAGTAAATATACACACAAAAAATGGACTCATTACCATTTGATATTTTCCTCATGATATTATTGATGTTTTGCATCATAGTGTCTTAACGTCATTTAACTTTAAAGCTAGATGTTAATATTTTTTGTTATCATTTTAATTTGAACATTTTCAGTTGTTATAATTTGTAAGTTGTCATCATTTCTCTCTCTACCTATTATTCAAATTTGAAAATCAAATTGGTTCAAACATTCCATCAATTCAGTAGAACTAGCAAGTATCTGATAAAAGTATTCTCCAAACAAAGTACTGATAACTGAAGTCACCATTTTGGTTATATGTCTTATCGATAACAATATGCAGCAGAAGCAGGATTTAAACATGAACCCTTGTCATTTGTTACCGAGTGTCAAGGTCCACAACACTGTAGACATTAATTTCTATCCCGTTTTACACTATCGGTTATTTGATAGTGTACTGCCTATTTCCATTCGCCACAGTCCGAGTATGCTTTAAAGCAGCCAGAATTGCAGAGTAAATACTTAAGTGAGAACTTTTATAAGCAACCTCTTTACAGCATAAAAGCACTTAAAATGCAGGCAAGAAAAAAATAATATAAAACAAAAATGATTAAAATAACAATTGTTGAATTTTGTTCTATGGTACATCTGTAATTTCAAATCTGCAGTTTAGATAAGAAATTAATAAAGGAAATGAGAATATTGATAAAGATTACAACAATGAGTGAGATATCAGGTGTATTCTGCCTCAGGTATTGCTATATGTATTCACCTTTTTTCATATGATGAAAATTAAAACATGCATACAACAAACCAAACATATAAAAAAAGAACTTCACATAAAACAACCGGCCGTCATCAGCTGTACCCAGCGGATTGATAGAGGAGTGTATCTATACACATCTATAATCACACCTGTCTCTCCATGCCTACCCACACCTTCAGACCAGGGTCAGCTTCTCTGACTACAGCAGCTGAGCAGGGGTCTGGGGTGGAGAGTGGGCAGTGTGGAGAGACTCATGTGTTGGAATGTTGATAGTATTTCAAACAAGATGTCAATTAAAAACATTGACTAAATTGGCATGTTTGGTGTGGTTTTAATTCAACAGGTCTCTTTTATATCTAATGGAACAGTAGTGTTTTGACTTTTAACAATAATTAATGTTTCAGAATATGTAACATGCACCAAAATGGGCAGCAAACTGAGTATTATCTGATCTTACTGTACAGTACACAGAGTAACTGTGGAGGTAGAATCGCAATAAAACATTCGGTCAAACTTATGAAATCCTAGTCAAACTAAAGAAAAATGATTTGGCAATATTACTGGTGTCAAACTCTCATGCCCATCATTATAACATAATTTATGATTAAACTGACTTTCATTTATTACTTAAAAGAAAGAAAACTAACATAAACTGTTTTACCCATCTCTATTTGTCCAGATCAGCCTGCTGTTGGGTAGAGGAGCTGCAGGGTTTAACCTCAATACTCCTTGCTATGGTAATGGGAATGATCCAGTTTAAAAATGGCATCTATCCTACTTTGATTAACGACACATTCACAACACAACCACATCACATTTATAATAACACTTACATAAAAACAGTACATGAACAGATTTTCTGCATTTCGTTTAAAAATAATGTATTTGTACATAAGACAGCCATCGTTTCCTCTACGGCCAAATGTTAATTGTTACTATATATACACACTAGAAATGCAAACCTGGTCGAGTCGATCAACAGCTGTACAAAGCCAGGAGCCCACCATACATAGAAAAATAGCACCTTTTTATTGTGACAATATCATTTTATATTGGTGATATATCACCAGTATGTCCCTTGTCTGTCAGCATGTACGCTTTAAACTGTTCATTAAGGAGAAACGTTTAGGTGATCCAGATCATTAAGTTTTGCATATCACCTGAACAACAAATCTCCTGGATACAAACATACTGTTAACAGGAGGTTACAGTCACACTACAGTACAGATGTCCTGATCAACATGTATCCTCCTCCTCCTTTTCGCTGAATGGTGAACATCGCACACAGTAACAGTCATCAGATATGTTCTCGGCACAATATCGAGTTACAAGATACACTTTTATAGGACTTAGCATGTGTCTAGATTTACAATAGTTACTCTTGAACATCTTCTGTGTGGAGCAACAACATATTGCATGATTTATAGCGATCTCCATGGTGACAGAAATCTCCATCTACTGTGAACGGATGTGTCTTTAGTGACAGCAGGAGGTAACTTCAGCGTGCCTGACGTCATGTGATGGTAAGCAGTATAGATCCATTCGAAGTTTATTAAGACTATATATACACACTTGAGTGCTACCGAACAGAGGATGGACTGCAACAAAGAAACACTGTGTCAGTAAACAGAACTCAAACACCAAATACTGCAACTGTTTTCATCATTCCAAGTAATTATTCCTGAAATTGTTTATTCAAAATTCTACAGATATGACTTCCTTAAAGAAACAGTAAACTGTATATGTTGTTTGTGTCGAGCAGTTTTAAGAATTACGACCAAGATAAACTTTTAACAAAAATTAATCATTTCTTTGATCTTGGGTTGAAGATAACGGTGACCTTATTACACCACAGCAAAAGACACATTTTCTGTGGGTGAAGCTAGTACTCTTAAAATGATCTTTTAATAGTATTATAGTTTTGTGTACAGTTGTAAAACTGTTAAGATTTGATATGAAAGTTCGGTTTTACATTTTTTTGCCTGATAATACATGTTTCAGCTTAGACAGGCTAATTGCACTATAAAAACTACAGCATCAGCGAGGTTAGGGAGCTAATTAGCTACAAATATCCTTACTTACAATGTAACTGACCTAATTAAATCACTTTAGAATTAACATTAGGACAACTCACCTGGCTAGTGGAGATGTGTTATGAGAAGTTTTCCTACTCCTGGTTAGACCCTGCAATGAAAGCGAGAAGAAATTACTGACAAACTAAATTTACTCCTCAAATCACTATTTTCAACATTTATTCTAAAAGAGTGTACTTATATTAAAAACATGACATTCATTTCTGGAGAAGAGCTTTTAATATCAATAACAAATTTACAATTTGTGGAAAACTATTTAATATGTATAGAATGTTATAATAAAAAATAAAAATAAAAGTATTTATCTAAGCTAGAGCTAGAGCTGATGCAGGACTAATTTATTCAGCTTTTTAAGGTACATTTTGAGCCAATCCGAGAAACAGGCGAGCACTGTAGACTGACAAAGCCACTGCAGGAAGTAAGTGCTCCTCCTGTCTACTACCTGGACACGCCTCATCTGTATGCACGCCCAGAGGGATCCACTGCATTGGACATTATAACAAGCAATGTGTGGATGATCTTCTGAATGCATGTGACCACAAGGGTCAATCTAAAAGCTGTCTACAGTCTGCTGTTTTATATACATAATATATTTCTCTAAAAGTTGCAAGCTTACAATTTGCAATGCAGATTATACAAAAGTTTAGTTAAGGCCAGAACTGAGATTTATGTTTCTGTAGGCAGAAATAGTACCGTATGTATGCATGCATGCATGATTTCAATTTGTATGAATGTTCTAAACAGCTGATCAAAACTGAAAGAATATTATTTATTCTTTTGTGAAGATTGTTATTCTTATTTTATACCAGACAAATCTTAAAACAAAATTAGGGTTAACTCAAATAAATTTCTTTTACATTAATTCATTCACCCCTGAGGACACATTTGAACTCTTCCAATATAAAGGTAAGAGTAGTCCATCATGAAATTTCAGGGGTGAATGAGTTAAGGTGATTCTGTTATTCAAATCTGTTTCCTTTCAAATCACACCAAGTATATATGATCATAAAATTAGAGAATATTAATACAAATCTGGTTAAATGAATGTACTGTGAAAAAAGTCAATACAAAAACAAGCATTACATTTGCAGCGTGTGATAGGCTTATTATTAGCACACAAGTGTAGGGAGCTATCTGGAATAAACACAAATGAGTAGAGTAACTGTCCTACATGTCTACAGTCAAACCAATTATACTACAGTTAATTGAAGTAAAACTCATTGCAAAGTGCAGGGACATGCTGAAATTATATATTTCTACAATATTACTGGAATTGGACTATTCTACATTTATGAAATTGTATTTTAAGGAATTACGAAACTACAGCTTGAATTACTAGAGCTGCAATGACAATTGTGATTTTAAGAAATAATATTTTTAGCAATATAAAACCTTATCGGAGTATTTTTTGTATAATAAATGTTATTATGCCATTCAATATAGATATAGGTTAGTTATATCCAGTATGGTCTACCTGTCAATCAGCACACTTCTGGGCGGGGCCAGATCAGACCCCGCCTATATTGATAGGTCTAAATACTACAATATACAGAAACAACACAAGTTCAGAGCAATGAGTTGAAAGCGAGATCATATTTACAACAAGTAGACTTAACATGCTACTGTAGAGAAAACTGATGAATGGGGAAATAGAAAATATGTAATTATCGTTGAATGAAATTCATATTATTAGAAGAATCTATTGATCACATTGGTATTTTGATTGTATAAAACGAATAATAGAAGATCTACAACTATTTTCCCACTCAATCTGAAATAAAGTCTACATAAGCTGTAGGGCTGTGGAAAAGTGTCTGGTGCTGATAGCTATAGGCCACACACATACAGTATGCAAAACTAGCCTGAATGTCAAAAAAATAGAATATAGCCAGCAAGGATTTCATGTGGGAACTCTATCATGCATATTCTGAATTGAAATCAATCTTTCAAATAATAATATGGTCAAAACACAACCACATGCAAAGGTGTAAAGAAATCTTGATAATGAATTCAAACTTTAAACAATTTAAAACCTGCATTGTTGAGTGACACCATACTTGTGAGCCGTGAAAGGAACTTACTGGAGAAGCTTGTGCCTGTCGTTTAAAGTTAAGTTGTGCATATAATAGGACTCCTATGTCCTTGTGGCCTGCCTCCATGGCTATCGACAGAGGGGTACTCCCATCCTACACAAACATGCACCACCACGGGCAAAGGGAAAGGTGAAATAAAATCATCAGTACAACGTCGACATGCACAAAAAAATACAATAGAATACATTACACAACAGCACACAGTGTAAAACTCATGACAACACCTGGCAAATAGAGTTACTTCCCTTTTATAAGATGTTAAGTAATTTTTGGTTATCTCCCTTTGAGTGCCAATCCAATTTTACAGAAGTTATCTCCCTTTCATAAATGATTTGCACACTTCCTGACCCCAGAAAACAGTTCTAACAGTAAGACCATACTTGGAAATAAGTTTTCTTCCATTCTTTGATTATTTACAGATAATAAGCTTTTTTCATCTGTGAGCGACACAACTCTTCATGCTGTATTCACTTTTACACTGTGTACTTATGATGGTGATAATTACACCAACTTTCATGCTGTGACAAAACGTTACCAAAAATGCAGAGGTGAAAAGGCAAGTGTTTTGACCGACAATATTCCAAAGGAGCATACATAACCAAATATTTCCTTTGATTCAATCTCTTCATTTTGTTTTGTTTTGTATTAAATATGAATCACTGCATGAAAGTAGGAATTTATAACATTAAACAATTGCAAGAACCCCAAGCATGAGACCTAAACAACAAGATAGCAGTAAACATAAATACTAGATTTACAGGTACTATAATGTACAGTTAATGTCTACACAGTCAAAATAAATATAGGAAGCACAGAAGATACATCAGTATTAATGCAAGCATTAACAAAAGGGGCTGATGAGGAACCTTGGGTACAGGAAGCTGCAAACCAGGGTCTGTCCACTGACACACCAACTGGTCCGAGCTATAGGGCGAGTAACCTGGGTAACGCTCTAGCGATGAGAATTAATGTGTTGGTACTCACTCGTGTACCGTTACAATGGCCGAGTAGTGCTAGACCAGGCAGCCCGGGACAATTCAGTTTTAAAGAAAAACATAAATGCTCAAATATTACTATTGCGTTATTTTTCTGACAGCTCAGGAGACTCCACACTATTAAGGCTGAGCAGAATATGCAAACAAAAACGAAATCTCCAATAAAATATCTGTCTGTGAAAACTCACCAGAGACTTAGCACCAACATAATGGATAAACTATTTTCAATGTATCTTTACTAGTGAAGTATTGAAATATTATAAAAGAGTTAAGTGAGAAATTTGTGAACCGCTTTCAACCTTTGAGACGACCTACAAACTAGGTTGTGATAAAGTGGTATGTAAGAACCTGGAATTATTATTTATTTATTACAAATATAGATGGAATTTAACAGTCTGAAGCACTCCCCCTTTTTATCACACGGTCACTTTTTCTGAACAGTTCTAAAAGATGTTGCAAACAGAATATTTAGTTGTTTCCAAATAAACTGAAATTTCTTGCAAGTGGAAACATTTGCATTTTGACTATTAACATTGACGTCTGTGTTGAAATATTCTGAATGGTTTGGAGATCTTTATATAATTATGACTGTGCCAGGATTCTGTCAATCTTCGAAAGCCATTATTTCAATATCTATATGTATAGGGAATGACATTTTTATAATCAAAACTAACAAGGTTCCAACAACAAATAAATAATGTTAACATTGAATTGTGATACAGGTAAAATAAAAGGGTTGACCATATAAATTTATTACTATAAATATGCCATTTTTACATAAAATAATAACAATAAAATAATACAATGGGACTTTTTCTCATATAAAAATCTCAAAAACATAAACCAATATACCCCATATAAAACTAGATGATCTATACTGTAGTAATAATACCTGTAACATGATGTATGTATAATTGTAAACTCTAATGAAAGTTTAGCACCAAATCTGATAATGGATCCTGGAGACATTGTTGATACTTGCATATGACTGTACATTTAATGATTTACGACAATAACACACAATACACAGCAAAACTTAACAATACTAGGTCTGGGACTGTAAACAGTAGTACATGTGTTAAAAATCATGATGCACATGCCTTGATAATGACCCTGTCGTGATGGAACACATCTTTTCCCTTCCCTTTATTTCTGAGAACACATCTTTCCCCTACCCTTTATTTCTAAGAACACATCTTTTCCCTTCCCTTTATTTCTGAGAACACATCTTTCCCCTTCCCTTTATTTATGAGAACACATCTTTTCCCTTCCCTTCATTTCTGAGAACACATCTTTCCTCTTCCCTTTATTTCTGAGAACACATCTTTCCCCTACCCTTTATTTCTAAGAACACATCTTTTCCCTTCCCTTTATTTCTGAGAACACATCTTTCCCCTTCCCTTTATTTCTGAGAACACATCTTTCCCCTTCCCTTTATTTCTGAGAACACATCTTTCCCCTACCCTTTATTTCTGAGAACACATCTTTCCCCTACCCTTTATTTCTGAGAACACATCTTTCCCCTTCCCTTTATTTCTAAAAACACATCTTTCCCCTACCCTTTATTTCTATTTGTCACTGTACCAAGCAAATTACATTCCTATCTATGTCACAGTATTAATCAAAGGATATTTCTTGTCCAAGTGACTTAGAGATAATGACTTTCAGGTATGATGGTCCCTATTTTGACATTTATACCTATAAATTCAGGTCTTCGTTATTCAATATTCAACATAGACAAAGCTCTTCCTTTGTAAATACAAGATTTTTTTCTTTTTTCTTTGAAAATAATCATGAAAATGAGATAAACAGCAGATTTTGGTTTACCTAACATTTCTATATGTTAGCTGTAATGTATGGCTCGGTGAGATATATAATCATAAAGGCGCTGTAACATTGATGAAGCCACTACATATACCACAACGTTTCTGACAGCTCCCTGTGTGGTAGCGGCTGATTATCAATTATATATCTTCTCTCTTTACCCGCTAACAGTTAATCTTTATTTCATTCAATGGGCAAATCATTTTCACTAAAGTACGAAATTCAAAAACTGATCCCCAAGGATATGAAATGAAGATTTGATAAGAAATTTAAATCTTTTACGAAAAACATAACAAATCTTAACATGAAAACGAAAGGTTATTAAGATTTTGAAGCTTTCAAACTCTTTTTTCTGATATCCAACGAGAGTGTCATAATGGACAGTGGTTACGTGACAACTGGTTATTGCATGGAGACTTCCAATCTACATGTCTGGAGTATCTAAATATCCAATGTAAAGCAAATACAACAACCTAGAAACGACGAAAACTAACGAAGAGATAAATACAAAGCAAGATATAGTGCAGGTGTACTTAACTCTATCACATTTACACAGATACGGTACAATATCAACAGGAGAGTTGGTTCGAGGAAAGGAAGAACAGGAAGGAGTTCTTACATTGTCTGCCAGGGCGGGGTCATAATCAGGCTGTGACATCAGTAACTTGACAATTTCTGTGTAGCCATGTTCACATCCAACCATCATGGAGGTCGACCCCTCGTTGTCCTGGGCATTTACATTCGCTCCGTTTTCAAGGAGCAGCTTGACCATTTCTGTGCGACCTTGACTGACTGCTAACATAAGGGCCGTCTGTCCATCCTGTATCAAGAGAATGGACCATGCTAAATATTGTGTCACCCAATACCGCTGTTGTAGTTGTTACCATAGTTACCTCATCATTCAGATTTAGAGCAGACTTTTAGAACATAATTCCAATTTTCTTTTCTTCTTCCAATCATTATGATTTTTTTGTTGAATCGGTGGCATGTAACCATGGTAACAAATACAATATTGATATCCGAACAGTGCAAACAACATGCGCCTTGTTGCCATGACACCGTGCTGGTATTACATGGATGCATGCGTATCATTCCTTTGGTACAGCGGACACAATGCCATGGGTGTACTACCTTGTGCCTACAAATCAAAATCTGTAGTAACTGCGATATGACGACGACCTCTGGTTCATCTCCGGGGATCGACTTCCTATGGAGGAGAGCGAGCTGGAACTGCCAGATGACTGGCTTCCAGAGGAATGGCTTCCAAAGGAACGAGTTCCAGAGGAATAGCTTCCTGAGGAACGGCTTCCCAATGCATGGTCTCCTGATTGCGACTTGGGAAGGTAAAATAATAACATGAGGTTTCTCTTCAAGCAAAAGATCAACTTAAAAGCTACAAAAAGGTAATTTTTACATCATATACACCGTATATATAATCATACAAACAGGAACAATTTCATATAACAAGTGCTTCATATCTTCACACTGGTTTAATTAGATTACAACATCATAGTTCGTATGATATGACCTACCATGTTATTCGCTTTCTCTATCTGTCATTCACAGAATTTTCATTGGAAAACTTAAACAATATCAACCAAGAGAGAATTTCTCTCCTTGTATACAAAAGAAAGTCATCAAGTGATTTTTTTTCATAAAGCCTTTTTCCTATGCCTGTTTATGCCTAGTGATTACCATTCAACTTTTTTCAGTACGATATCAAAATAATAATCACATCTAAGGAAGCTAGAGTATTCCTACACCCCTCCATGACAGCTGTATCAGATGGAATATCCCTCTCCTTTACCAATATAAGTATAGCGAAAATATAATTGATGTTCAGACTCAGTTGCTACTTGCGGAGAGTACTATACATACCTTCGAGGCACGGGCGTTAATGTCGCCCATTGTAAAAAGTCTGTGGACAACCTCCTGTTGACGCTCAGTCTGGGTGTAGGCCAGTGTGGCCAGCATGGTGGGTGTGTAGCCGGCTTTGTTCTGCTTGTCCAGGTCCACCTTGCCTGTGTCCAACAGCAGGTTCACTATCTCGAAATTACAGTGGGACACTGCATAGTGTATGGCTGTGTTTCCCTGTAATAAATAAATCTGTATCAACAAAATTTCCATATATATGAAACAAAAAGTTGTTGAAGTTTAAGCAAAAATTTCCTGGTTTTTCCAAATTAAAAAGTTTTGTTGTGTTTTATCTAGACAGAGCTGACACCTACATCAACTCTTCGAGCAACTTACTTGTGTAACATTTTACAGCAGGGCTGTAAGTAGTATGGCTAGAGTCCTTAGTAACATGATGTATACTCACATTGGAATCCTGCATGTTGACTATATACTCGAGCAGACGTCGAGAAATCTCGTTTAAGCTTGACAGGTAGTCCTCTACCTGGTGGGGCTCTGACAGCTTCTGGCTAGAAATGCCAAACCATTCCTTCTGGATCACATTAAGGCTGGCATTCTGTCAGGTAAACAAAGTCAACATTTACAGTCATCTTAAATCGGTGGAAATCACGCTTTGTTCGATTTTCTTATAACCTCATCACTGTAACAATGATGGATAAAATCATATTGTTAACCAGGGTCGCGTTCGTTTATCGCGATCCAAATGGTTGAACTGGTTGGACCAGGGTTGTTCCTTTATGATATAAGATCAGACCTATAGAGTGTAGTAATCTGATGCTGCTTTCAGGCAAGCCTTGACCAAGCCTTGCAACGCCTGCATAAACATTTGCAGGTCTGCCAGGTTTTATACCCGAAAATGTTACAATTAAAAACTGACAAATCGGATATGCATAAGGGGACTAGTGTCTATGTATACTCAAGGGACTTAACTCTTTGAATACTGGCTGTCAGTACATGGAAAATGTCAGTTGATTGATTTCCGTCACATGATTGTTTCATTGTTACAGTATTAACATTGGCAGTGTGGGTAGCAATGTGTAAGGAGATGCAAAATGCAACTGTCTAGAATGAGATTTGTTTAATCATTCAAAGACATGCCTCTCTGAACATTAGACAGATATTCTACTAATCTTGTCATCAACTAACGACCATTTCTAGGTCTCCAGACTAATAACCTATGACGTACCAGTTCCTTGGTCTGTACCTCTGTTGAGTCCTCCAAATACTTGGCCAGCACAGAAGATGATGTTTGCATTTCTTTACTCAACTCGAATCTGCATGCAAAAGAATATACTCAGTTTCACATACACATATGTACCAGTGACTTGATACTTAAAAAAACATACAATATAAGGATACTTTAAGAAGTCATTTCAAGATTTAAGAAAAAAAACATTTCAATCTTATCTTACAATGACAAGAAATTGTGGAATAAATCTTTACATTTTTCAGATATATATATATATATATTGTCTCTAGCAACTTAAATTAATTCTAAGGTCCCATGATTTATTGTACATGTCTTGTAGTAATGTAGTAAGTCTTTCCACTGAAAACTGTTTTCTCTCACAGATTTTGGACATAATACCACTGACTGATCTACTTACGTTTCCCTGATGTTCTGGTCAAACATCTTGGCCCCAGGCATTCCCTGTGCAATGGCCTCATCGTCCTTACACTGGTAGACAATGCTGCCCTCTCGCCCATCGTACGATCCCTCCTCGTAACTAGTTGTTGACTCACTGTCAGATTCTCCCTCCTCCGAACTTTCGTCACCTGCACTGCTAGATGTATAACTGGGCGGTCAAAAATTTGAATGGCAGAGTCAGGCCACATGTTACAGGTATTAATACATATTCCCTATTGTCCTGTCTTTTACCATTTAGTCAGATTCTAGCAGTTCTTTAAGCAAGAATGTTAAAAGCCCACACACAACCAAATAAAATTTGCATGCAATTCAAGTCCAAACACTATTTATCTGTTATAGAGCAAATACTTACAAGCAAACTTATCTTTCATTGCAACGATATAACATATGATCTTTGCAGAGCAAATTATAAATAATTACAAACTTATCTTTTTTGACTTAGATAATTTAAGTGCACTATCAAACATATAATAAAAAAGAGTCTAATTACCCTCCAACCACATTTTCGGCAAAGGTGATGCCCTTCTTGATCTGAGTGTCCGACTTGCTCTTCTTCATGCATGACTTGAGAGACCTGCGACTGCCATCAGTGGAATCAACAGAATGTGTGTTCATAATGGTTACACCTCCAGTGAGGTTTCCACTGTCTCCAGAACTGACATACTGCTCAAAATAGCTCCTGCCAACTGGTGTAAAGTCAGAAGTCCTATATGTCCTGATCTCCAGTGACTCAGTTACCTCCTCCTCCTCTTCATTATTGGTGTCGCTGCTGGTGCTGGTCGAAGACTGACCACTCAGACTGAGATCAGAGCCAGACTGACCACTGCTTGAGGTCATTCCTGACACACCACTACTGGACGAGGATATCATTATCGATGATGAACCTGTTGATTCCATTGATCCCCCTGATCCCTTTTGCATCATCAATGACGATGACCCTCCAGATCCCCCTAACAGATCAAGCTCAGCCTTCAGTTTGGAGGTAGATGAAGATTGTGACATTGACTGTTCCCTGTTTTCTTCCAGCGCTTGTCTGCCACCTCCTGAACCACTCATACTTTGCGTGACTGTGGTAACTGTTCGCTGACTTCCGCTTATACCAGATAATACATCCCCAGTACTGCCACCACCAGAAGAAGAGATCTTAGTAACCTCAATGTTGCCTCCTGTTTTGATACTCCTTACATTGGCTTTACCACTCTGACCTGGCAAGGTCATTTGCCCATCTGGTTCACCAAGAGTCTTGCGTGTGATGGTGGTGACAGTGTAAGTGTCGCCACCCTGGCTGGTGATCTTTTTCTCCACTACCTCCTGACTGCGGTCACCTTCCTTCCAGCTGTGTTGGTCTGAGCTCACTTGAGTAACTTGCTTATCCTCCCATGTCTCGGAGGTTGCCTCATCCTTATATTTAGGGGATGCTGACATCAAGTTGTTCGCCCTCTGAGACACAACCACCAGTGAAGATTCTGGTACCTCTTTGATCTCTTTAGAGGTTTTTATCTGGTTATTGTCCAGAGATGCAGTCGTATGACGTTCAATGACTTGACCCCTGCTTTGGCCTGACCAGTCACTCTGGACCTCCTGCTCTGTTGTCCAGGTGACGATCTCTTCCGTTGTCTCCTCCATTCGTTCTTCATCATTAAAGGAACATACAAATGAATCTAATTTATCATCACTACTTCCAATGTCTCTGGTTCTCACCGAGTCAGTGTTCACAGATTTACTATATTTTCTAGGTTCCTCTGTATTCATCGATGTGCTGTATTTTCGAGGCTCTGCATCCGTATTTGTGTAGGAATTAGTTTTAATTGGCCGTCTGCTTTTCGAAATTACCTCAAGTTCATAATCCTCCGACACAACTTCACACAGGTCTGTTTGGACACCATTGCTGTAAGTGTTTTTCCGTTTTGTATTACACCCAGCATTTTTTAGTTGATCCATCCTCATGAACATCATCACATCAGTCTGTGTGCCACCAGAGAACATTTTGTCAGCCTCAGTCATGGTCCCTGCACTGCCGAGTCTCGCCCGGTCCGTCATGGTTGACCTGTTTTCCTGGTATTGCTTTGCGGTGTTGGTGCTAGCATCAAGCTTCCAGCCATAGTCTGTGTTACAAGCCTTATTTATGACATGAGGCTGGGCTTCAATTCCAACAGTTCTCGTCGGAACAGGAGCACGTAATTCTATATCCACATCATAGTCCCCTACACCTATGGTACGCAGTGAATATTCAGAAAATTGTACCCCTCTCTCCATGGTTTGAGCCCTATAGTCACAATTGACACCGATACTCCGCACATTTTTGTGTAGTACTTCCCTCAATGCACTCCTCATCTCATCAGCCTTGAAGCTTAGCGAGGTTAGTAAGGAACCTGTGTCAACATTAACACCAACCGTACGTGTCGAAGGCTTCTCCTCATCAATCGCAATAGACACACCAACATCCCTTGTTGACACACGACAATCCACACCAACATGGCGCTTTCCAACAGACTTTGCTTCGCCTATAATCACAGTTCTTAGTTCTTTTTCGTGAATCTTTAAACCATCATCAAGCACATTTGCGTCACCAATGCCTATTGTTCGAGTGAGAGGTTTGGGTGTCCTGGAAAAGGGTGAGTAGATTGCAGTGTTACCACGTTCTCTCTCCAACACATACGTCTCCCGTATGATGGTTTCATTGTCCCTGACAGTGTAGCTGGGTGGTAACTCAGGCTGCACTAGGTAAGGCACCATCACGTTGTTGTCCCCTACAGCCTTGGACTTCAGTCTAGGCTTTGGCATTACTGGTGGTGGAACCTTAACCGTAGGGGATACAACTGGTTTGACAACCTCCTCTACAGGAGAATCTCCAACACCAATTGACCGCATGTTCATCCTAGCCTCGCGAGCTTTCTGTTGCAACATGAGAAGGCGCTTCTCCTCCTTGAGGACAGAGATACGCACCTGCAGGACCGGGATAGCCTTCAGCTGTTCCTCAAGCTCTCTCATCCTCTGTAAGCTCACTGCCATCACCTCGCGCACCTCGTGTAGAGAGGACTTACTGATGCTTGTTGTTGTCGACTGGGAGGAAGCAGCGCCATCTTCAGGTGTTGGTAAATGTGTTGCCATGGTAGCCGCCAACTGTTCAGATGTGATGTGTGTGAAGCGTGAGATACTTGTTTCCGTAGTGACAGTACTCTGGCCATAGTTGTTGTTGCCAACCATGTGGTTATAGGTTGATACACTTTGTGTCGGAAAATTTCGTTCACTGGCAATTGTCGAAATAGAAGACAAGGAACTCTGGGAATCTGTTAGTCCTCTTTGCATTTCAAAAGATGTATTAAATTGATTTATTTCATCCTGCATGTTTTTGCCTCGATTGCGTGGAAATGTGTTGAACTTTTCTGTGTTTTGGGGACTTGTAGAGCTAGATGTGCCTTCACTTTCGGAGCTCATGAGTCGGCCATGAGCAGAAGTATACATCATAGTGTTGATGGAAGCCAGTGTGGCATCCACTGATGAGTCTATCTCATCCAGAACCTGATTGGCCGGTGCACTTTGTTTGTTGAGTGGCACGAGGCTAATCCGCTCCACGGTCTCTGTTTGCTGGACATCAGAATTCTCCTGTTGTTGAAGATAGACTTCCATAGATTTACGAAGTTTACGCTTTTCTCGTTGTAACCTTTTCAACTTTTTCAAATAGGCAGGATCATTCAAACTGTCACAGTAGTTGACGAAGTCCAAGTCTATATGGTAACCATAGGGACAACAGGTACACTGTCCATTCTCCAAGATAGTCACTTTCTTCTCTCCATTTTCTAAATAAAAAAAAAGAAAAGAAATTGTATTAGATATGTTAGGATTTAAAGAAGCATCGTTTTATACTAAAACATTTGACAGTGCAATAAATTTTCAATATTATTTGCTCAAATGTCACAAACCCAGAACAGTATTTTGAGACACTTGCAATGTAAAATAATTTTCAAAGTTAAAATTTGTTTCAGAAATTTTGCTAATGTATAGTTTCTTATCTGAAAAGTCTCTGAACTAAATAGGTTGTACTGTAGTAACTTTATACATCCTCTGATTCATAGTGACAAACTTTGTATATACAGCCAATGAAAAATCTATCATCTATAGCATTTGAAAATAAAACATTGTTCAAACAATGGAATTAACTTTGAAATATATACACATAAGATAATATGTAATGCATGAACACAAAGCCAAACTCTATATTCAAAAATTATTGCATAACAAACAAGTCCATAAATTTTGCATACATAAGAAATAACATACAAAGTAAACTCTCCATACTTACCAAACCTTCAACAACAAACAAATCCATTAAATATCTATGATCCATACAAACACCCGTTTGATGGCGAGTAGAAAGGCAGAGCAGACGAATAAAACCGATCTTCAAAATCAGAAAATTGGGACAGAAAACTTGATATCCAAATCTCAGTTCACAAGAGACCCAATTAACTCACACTTCAAAATGAACAAATCCACAAAAAAGTGATCATTTTGCTACATAAATGTATGCTGTTTGACAGTAAAAGCTATCTAGTGATTTAGTTCCAATGCTGCAGAATCATTTTTAATATCCTGTACGGCTCCAAATTCTCCACCAACAAACATTCCAAGTAAATGAGAACCAGCATTTTCCGACGATGCCAGTTTTAACTACATCAGTTATTCATTCTGCAGACAGTTTGTAGTACAATTAAAAACATATTCCACGTGGATTTGTACCGATATAGTTCTGGATGTTGTATAGAACTAATACAACATAATGTGACTAGACTGTCAATATGATGTGGCTAAACAGTGCCTGCTACAGCCCTACAACCCTCATTTACTCTTAAAAGCTTTTAGCTACTCTCACACTACAGTACCTATCTATAACAACCTTTTTTAACGACCACAATTATTACAAAGTGCCAAATGCTGCACTGCAGTGCTGGCATATTTCAATCTACATAGTTTTTTTTCTTCAAAAAATTGAGTATTATTATGCAGGCGACGAAGTGGTGCACTGTTGTATTATTGAAAAGTATCTGTATCCATTTATGCACGTTTGTTCATAATGATATCAATATAAAGACAAAAGCCAATTTAGACACTATGGTGTTGCTCTATAGAGTATTAGGAGAGGATATCTGTTTCCATTTTAAACAGCACTGCATCACTTAGTCCCAATAAAGCTTGCCCATCATTCACCACATAAAACACCCATAAACTATCTCTGTTTCCTTGGAGGGTAGTCGAAGCGAACTTGGTAACACTAACACACCCACAAACCTGTCAGCTTCCGGGCTGTAAATAAACCCCTCCCCTCTCCAATGGGTACACTGCTCTGACAAAATTTGATTATTTGGAGTTACACTAGCTCTCATTCCTTTTCTGATCAATATAAGGCTGGTCACCATGACAAGGCACTAGAGTATCAATAAGATCAGGACAAAATGTCTAAAGGATTCCACCATTGGTCACCTGTATCTACGGGTCAACCTGAATACTTACATCTTATAGTACTGGGACTGCAGAAAATCACGACCAAAATAATTTCTTAACATAAAATTGTATAGCTAACAAAAAATTCCTTGTCAACAAAATCAAAATCGCTCCTTACCAAAAAAATCATTCTTTACCATCATTACCATTTGTAAACCAACCAAACAATCACAATCTATTACCACCAACCAACCAAACCAATTACCAGCCAACAAAATCAGTCAGAAATACAGTTGATCAACCCACATCAATTTTAACCAATTACACCAAAAACCAACCAGCAAATCTCACTAACACAACTATCAACACCAGGAACAACCAACCATACCAATCAACAACTAACCAAACCAATCACCATCTAACCATACCCATCCCCAACACACCATACCAATCACCAACCAACCATACCAATCGCCAACCAACCACACCAATCACCATCTAACCATACCGATCGATCATCAACCATACTAATCACCAACCAACCATACTTTAAATCACCAATCAACCATACTAATAACCAACCAACCATACTAATCACCAACCAACCATACCAATCACCAACCAACCATACTAATCACCAACCAAACATACTTTAAATCACCAATCAACCATACTAATAACCAACCAACCACCAACCATACTTTAAATCACCAATCAACCATACTAATAACCAACCAACCATACCAATCACCAACCAACCATACCAATCACCAACAAACCATACTTATCACCAACCAAACATACCAATCATAAATCAACCATACTAATCACCAACCAACCATACTTTAAATCACCAATCAACCATACTAATCACCAACAAACCATACTAAACACAAGCCAACCATACTAATCACCAACCAACCATACTAATTACCAACCAACCACACCAATCACCATCTAACCATACCGATCGATCACCAACCAACCATACCAATCACCAACCAACCATACTAATCACCAACCACCCATACTTTAAATCACCAACCAACCATACTTTAAATCACCAACCAACCATACTAATCACCAACTAACAGCATCAACAAATCAATATTAACAAGCCATTTTAATCAGAAACCAAATGAATCAAGAAATGAAAAAAATGTCAACCAAAATGCATCTCTAACCAGCCATATCTGCACTTTCAGAAACTTAAAAGTCAACTAATTGACGTTGTAATAACTCATTGAGAGCCATACAATTCCAATTCAAGAATAATTAAAACCACTTTTGGACAACTCGCAATCAGAAAAACTCACGATCTTAGAAAATTCAAAATCCAGCTCTCTGTTGAACAATTAGATTGTCTACATTAATCCTTGAAATACAAATTCCAACAGGTCTTTTGTGGACTTCAAAACGTCTGAACTGTCACTAAAGTTTTTATACATTTCCACATAGAATTTTTTCATAGCATTTCTTTTACAATATTCCAAGATACATGTCTGGCTTCAAAGCACCTGCTGGTCCTTCCTGGTAATGAGATTATACACGTATATCATTATAAGTATTAGAATGGCAAACTTTCATTGTTCCTCACATGGCCATAGAGATGGAGCACCAGGTCTACTCATCAAAGCCATGTACATGCTAATTTTGTAGACAAGTATACTTTTCAGACTGCCCATCTTAGCCAGCAAAGGAAGGGGCCCCCTCGAAGTAGGCGCAGATTCACTTCAGCTAATGACTGAAGTTATTTTATACATCAAAAGCTATAGAACATCCCAAGCACGTTTGAAAGAAATCAATGGATAGAGAAAACACGAACCTCACAGATCCTGGGAGCAATCAATAGGATACACCACTCTCTATCATTCCATCACAATTCATCGTATCTTATAAATCACAACTGTCTCTTTCGCTTGTTTTTAGAAGGAAATCTTCTATTTATAACCATTTCAAGGAATTGATACCAATAAATGTTCGATAATTTCATTTACCATTTTGAGAGGAATACTTTCAATGTCTATAAGAAATCAGGAATCTCCTGGGGATATTTCCATGCAAGGGTTTCCCATTATATTGAAACAATGACCATCAAGTTGAAGGTTACAGATCTAAACAAATCCTTGATATGAAACAGCCAGACAAAGGTCACAAACATATCACTGTTTGTCTGACTTCAGGCTACAGACATGTCTGGTGTCTCAATTTTACTGTCGTAATATAGAAATACTTCTCATATCCTGTTAACTACAAGGCTATGGTCATGTCTTACATTGAACTCAATATGTGGAAAATGGTAATTACCCATATCCAGACAGAGGTCTGTAAGCATTAACTCAATACACACATCGAAAATACATATTAAAAAAATGTATATCTATCAGGAACTCAATCAAATTATAGACATTTCTGACATTTCTTTCAACTGAACGACATTTTCAAGATTTTTTTTTTTTTTAGACTACAGACATATCTTATAATGCCCTAAATATCATTAGGTCATTTCAGTCATGTTGTATGTCCAACTCAACCTATGCCCATTACAATAAAGGCTTCAACAAATACAACATCATTTATGACATGCTGCCTTTTCTAAATGTCGCAATAATGTTTCTTTCTAAGATGCCAATTAATGGATGAAAAAACCCACACTTTATCAAACTTTGTAGAAAGCTATATCGTATAAATTGCACACATTCCCTAAATAAAAAGACGACAGCTAGTCTGTAACTTACGAAGACCTCGTGTTCAACGCAATAGTGGTGTTGGCATCTGCAGGCATCTAGGGTATCTCGTAACTGAATGAGCAGTCTCGTGGTAGCAGTCACTTCTTTTCCATGATGCAGATTAAAAAAGGGAGATTTTACCACTTCACACCTCTTACCGATTCTGATCCCCACCAATTCAGCTCTCAACACAGAACTAGCACTAACTGTGATGGACCAAAAAAGTGAGGATGTCAGATGGCTACTGCTGATGCTGTGCATTCACAGAAACATCACGCCAGGTTTCATATCCAATACATGTACATAAATGACTTTTTCTGGTGGTATCGGTCGATGAATCTTGACGACTGAGGGTAACATTGTAATAGAAAACTGTCAACACCAGATATCGGTGGATACAGCGGGTTGAAAGGGTTAAACAAAATTTGTCCATTATCTATCCAGGAAGTGTTTACTGCGGAGCCTTCAATACAGAAATACTGCCACTTTCTGAAATTCCCCACCCCTACATGACTTAAATGGAAGAGACCAAGCAACAGGATGGCCAGTTCGTTACTATGAGAATATAGGGGTGTTAGGAGGGAAAAACTACAGATATACCAATATTAAAGAACCACTCAAACAGATTATTGGAAATACATTTCAATCAAGTGTTTAATATGTTCCCGAAATATCAAATATAGCTTCGTCAAGGCAAGTATCATTTTCAAATTACAAGTGTAATGTTAAATTTGAAAATATTTTATTTAATATAATTGAATTAGGAGGTGCATACTAGGAAGAAGCCCACAATGTTGTGGTTTTACATGAAGTCTTACACAAACACATCACTGGATGATGTCTATAAACTGCTAGCAATCAATTAGCTTTTTTAAATTAGATACCTTAATTGTAACTCTACAATATTTGCTATAATTACTCGAAAACTTCAAAAATTGGAGTTTCTAGCTAGCAAGAATTTAGTTAACTACAATTGATTTTCACAGTGCAATAATGACCCTCTAACTAGTATTGGAAACATTCAAACACAAGCTTGTTTAAATAATAAATTAGGGAATCATTTTTTATTTTATTTTTAATTGTGAAATGTATACACGCTGCTATGATTAAATTAGGACATTCATGAAATTTTAATTACTTTGCTCTCAAACAAAACTTTGGTTCTTCAAACTTAAGGAAAATAAGAAAGATTTTAAAACAAAATCTAATTCAGCTCAGACAGATTAATGATGTAGTGACAACTGGCAGAAGAGAAGCAGTACACACCTCACTCAATCAGTCTTAGTTATAACACTTTCTATCAACAGACCCACACCTGATTAATGTACAGAAACCAAACACATATAAACAACACCAGGGAAATGGGGAATTGGAAACTTGTAAATGATCTTTTCAGTTTAAAAAACTAATTTCCAACTTGTAAATGATCTTTTCAGTTTAAAAAACTAATTTCCATCCTCAACACAACCAAATGCAGTAAGGTAGCTCCGACACCCCGTATAAAGACAGCCTTCTGACCAACACTTGAGCAACTAAGCCTGTATACGTACTACCAAAGAGTAAAGTTGACCAACCCTTTTGAAACTGAAGGTCTATGACCAAAGTTGAACAACCCTCAAGTAGCAATAGATTTATGATCAAAGTCGCCCAATCTCCCGACAATTACCGTTCATTCAAGGTGCACACTTACAATCCTTTGCTCAACACTTCTATCTCAAAGTTGTCATACAATGCCATATTGGCACGGAGTTTTAAATCAACCTTCTCGCTGCACAAAATATATCCATTATAAATAAGAAGACAATGATAAACTAAGAAGGTAAACAAATATGACGGCACAAACCAAACAGTAATAAAACACTGAACCTAAATGCCTCGAGGTTAGAGAAGGTAATGGCATAGCTACATTGTCCATCAAATTTTTACCCTTTTATAGGCCTGTATGATGGCCGCTAGTGAATGGATGAATGCCAATATGAACATTATCGCTATACTTAAGTATGTAGGGTCTAGCTAAATGCCATGAGATAGAGTGGCAATGAATCTTATGACTCTTTTTATTCCCAATTATGTGATTCATTGCCTAAACCCTTTGACCTTTGACATAGTTTCCCTTTATTTAATTAAGGAATCTCACCTATGACCTGAACTTTGTTACATAACTGACAGCAAACTGTTGTTTTCCACTTTAGCTTCTTTTGATCCTGGCAACAAAACCTAAACTCACTACTACCTAGGTAGTGACAACAATAATAGCTTCTGTTTAATTTAAGTAACCTCTCACCTTTGTGTTTCACTTCTGTGCTGACTGTGGCGTGGCCTGTATCTCGGTACTCAGCATGCATGCTCTCCGTCCCCCACACCTGGGCTGTTACATTTTCTGTCCCAACCCCTCGCATTTGCGCAGTGGCACGCTCCCTCCCCACCTCTGGCCGCATTTCTGCTGCAGCACTTTCAGACTGGTTCCGCCGGACCTGCGTGGTAGTATGTGGAAGTGAGGCTGAAGACGATACAGTGGAGTACGATTTCATTGAGGTTTGTGGCGGCAGGGATGAACTTGAAGACGAAGACATAGAGGAATGACCAGTCCTCTGTAGGAACTCGGAAGGTTTCACATTGTGGTTGGCATCCATGTTTACATTCACATGGCGTATCTCTGCTGTTGCCGTCCCCGTTGGGGGTCCCCATACACGATTTAGGGCAACATTGTTTGTCTCCGATCCTACAACATGGACCTCTGTCACCGTGGACTGTTGGTTATAACTGGTCATTTTACTGTCAAAACTCCTATCCACTGGAGATTCCGATATGAAGAGCATTCTGTCTGACCGTTCCATGGTTGTCATGGTAGTGTTGTTGGCGAAGGGCTGCTATGACGGCTTCATCGTGGAGTCTGTAATGACAAGAGGATACCTTTACTACATGTTTGATATGCGGCCATAAATACAGGCTGTATAAGAATCATTGTATATACTTGAATTGTGGACAAAACAGAAAAGGATTACATACACACGTGATAAATATGGTCCTCTGGCCCCTGGCTACAAATCCTCAGTTAGACGTAACACATGTTTGCTGGTTGGGTCCTTTCATCCCGTATTGAACACATTGAATAATCAACTGAGTAAAGCTGCCATGATAAAGGTATAGCCATCAGCTTTTGTCAGAAGAAGTTCCCTACTTTGAACAACTTTTACAGAAATTTGCATTTTAATTTTGCCTCTGTATATCAATACCTCTCTGCTATATATAATTGGACTGAAAATAAAAGGAGTCTGCCACGAGCTACAGCCACAGTTGGGCATCCATGTGAAAGCAACACAGCTGGATAAATATGAAAACCCACCACCTGACCAATACATTGATGAGCTTGATATTTCTATACACCAATATTATAGATTTTTTTAAATCCCCTGGTAATTTCTTCACAGTATAGAGTGTACCGATCTGCTAGAATTGGATCAAAACCCATTAGATAACTACAGTATGAATAAAATACCATGTGGATTGAAATCCTCAATATCAGAATTAGGATCGCCTGATAATGACTATGCAATAACGACAGGTGATAAATATGAAGCCTGTTAAGTTGCCCGATATATTTCAGCCATGATGGATTCCCCTATTAACAATGTAAACAACAAGCATGATACGAGTACTTGTTGTGTACAGGTGTAAATGAGAGATCACCGATACTTCATCACCAGGTAGCACTTGACAGGTTCTCGTTACATCTCTATCACACTCCTCGGGGTGAGAGGAAAGGTCCAAACTATCATGCATCAATGTAAATCAAGTCGTTTTATTATTTCAAATTTACTTTAAGAAATGAAATAGCTTGAGCTACTATGACATAGAGTCGCTTGCAACTGAAAATCTAATTAAAACTTGTTTCAAATTGAATTACTTTGAGTTAATACATCAGGGGTAAATTATACTCAATACTTAAGTTCTATTGAAACTTTTAGACATGTGATGCTAAATACAAGCATAATATTAACACGCTTAGCAAAATGCATACCTGTCTCGATTCCTGTTCCAAAAGAATCTTTCAATAGACTAAAAGCTGACAACTTACTTTCTCCTGCCTATATGAAGTCGTTAAGACAATTACAGTGTAATGTTGGGTACCCTACACATGTACTACTAATTACCACAAGCCTGTAACAGGAAGTGGTGGTTTCTCCGCTCAGGAGTACATCACTCCCGGGTGTTAGACTGGTGATGTGAAACAGGTGTACACAACCGAGCAGTTTTTAAGGTTTTCCACAAAGGAATCAATCAGCCTTTATGACTGAGAAGCTATCAGTGCATAATCCTTATGGGTGCCCTGGCCCACATCACAGGACTGCACTACACACAGTTTAATTACCCTGCTGCAGGTATTAGATACAGGTCTAAAGACAATCAACACTGTATTTAATCATTGGTACTGCAGGTGCTATACCTCCAGGAGGGAATATCTAGGTCCTCTGCCTCTTAGAGATCCCCAGGCATTGTACCTCTCAGAAGGGATCTACAGATCCAGTGCTTCTAAATAAAAAATCTCAAGGTTCAGGCTACTTTTTTAAGATGAGATCCCAAGGCCCTTTCCCTCTGAGAGGCGATCCCATGGTCTATAGCTCTGAGAGGGGATACTCAGACTCGGTACCTCTGAGATGGGAAAATCAGACTCTGTACCTCTGAGAGGCGACCCCATGGTATATAGCTCTGTATGAGGGTACTCAGACTCTGCGCCTCTGAGATGGGAAAATCAGACACTGAACTTCTGAGAGGGGATACTCAGACTCATCGCCTCTGAGAAGGGATATTCTGACTCTGCACCTCTGAGAGCTGAGATACTCAGACTCGATCTGCAACTCTGGAGGGGATACTCACACTCTGCACCTCTGAGAGCTGAGATACTCAGACTCGATCTGCACCTCTGGAGGGGGATACTCACACTCTGCACCTCGGAGAGGGGATACTCAGACTCGATCTGCACCTCTGGAGGGGTTACTCACACTCTGTGCCTCTGAGAGGGGATCCTCAGACTCTGTACCTCTGAGAGGGGATATTCACACTCTGTGCCTGTGATAGGTGATACTCACACTCTGTACCTGTGATAAGTGATCCCCTGGTACTCTTTAACTATAAGCGATGATTCCCTGGCCCTGACTTTTTAGAGGGGATCTCCAGGTGCTGTACCTCTGAGAGATAATCCCTATAAGCCCTATACCTCTGAGAGGGGATCCTTAGTGTTGTACCTCTGAAAGGGGATTCCCATCAGGCCCTGTATATCCGAGAGATGATACACAGGCCCGGTACCTTTGAGAAGGGATCTCTAGGGCCCTGTATCTCCAAGAAGGGATCCCCAGGCCCTGTATCTCTGAGAGATGATCCACAGGCCCTGTTCCTTTGAGAAGAGATCTCTAGGGCCCCGTATCTCTGAGGATAACAATTCACATTCCAAATGACACCTGCTTCACTTCCATTCTACAGGGGTCTAATTACAGCAGGGAAGTCTAGCCAATTACTGAGAATGTGGGAGGTGAATTGTAGTAATGTGCACATAACCTGTATGTATCTAATGATACCAACTCTGCACTAGCTCATTTTCCTTCCACTGAAACTGTCTTGGGACAGAAGAAATTTGTTTTCATTCTCAATGTTTTTTGTAAAACTCATTGAAACATTAAGTGTTCTATTTAAAGTGAAATTGGAATTGCCACATCAGTATTTAGTTTATGTGCCAAGCTTAGGGCCAGGTTTAGGAACTGTGCTGCAGATTAAAATATTGGAACCATGCTTTCAAGAAGGAACAATTAAAAGAGCACAATCTTAAGTTTATAATGATATCCCAGACACAACAACTCTAAATCCTTCCAGCTAAAAACAATTTAAGTCCCTTTCCATCTCAAGCTCTTTGACTTTTCAGTTATTATATTTTAAGACATGGTAAATGCATTTATCGCTATTAAAGTTCAACCAAATCTAAATGGATTTAGCTATTATTGGTTGAACTATACAATGTAAGTGCAATCACATGGTTGAAATAAAATACGATCTCACCACTTTACATATAAAATTGTGCTAAAATACTTTTTCTGATTTTATATACCTTGTATATACAAAAGCATAAGTTTTCTACTAAAATTTAGGTATTACTCATTCACCCCTGAAATTTCATAATGAACTGTTCCAACCTTTCAATTGGAAGAGTTCAAATGTGTCTTCAGGGGTAAATGAGTTAAAATCTGTATATATATGGTAGCCTTTTATACTGATACTATATATATGAGGTGGAACATTTATAGATATCTACCTACCATAAACAGGTAAGCTATGAATGGCCAGGTTTACCTCTAATCTGTCTTACGCAAACTGTATGGGAACGATTATCATTCATAAATACACATCAACAATGAGTTAGGGCAAGGTCAGCTTTGATAGCTAGGTCACTACAGGTCTTACCAGGTACTACTACTGGTCAGTATGGTCACAGTACGGTCAGTACATCGGGACAACTGTCCATTAATTGTCCACAATTGAAGGCTTTACATCATACACTGATCATAGAATATACTAATACTCAGATTATCATGATCGACACATCTGTTGACAGCCATATCAATAAACTGCACATTTCCTGACAAAGTTATAGCCATTTACTGGGAATAAGCCCACATTTGGGATAACTATGAATGCGGAATTACACTGCACCATTTTTTCGACAGATTTGTATAGAAGGCCATATCTGGGAACACCTGTTTCTGGCTGAAATTAAAATATATTCTGATTGGAAAATAAATCTAGTAGCTAGTTCAGCCATTGTTTAAAGTCAGACAATCTCCAAATATCCAACGTAAAATATACTTCATACAAGCAGAAGATCAAAACGGCCATTGACATAAACCAGGCACCATGGATACATGTACCCCAACAAAATTCCAAACTACTACCTAACTATTTGGAAAGACTGCTACCAGAATAACAATCAAAAGATCGATCTGTCTTTCAGGCCCCCTCATAAAAAGCCAGTTCTGTAAAGAGGGGTAATCTTCCTATAAGGACTCTTGCCAAAAAGACCTGTTAAAAGAAGCCATCCATCTGTCTTTGCCAAAAGGACCTGTTAAAAGAAGTCATCCATCTGTCTTTGCCAAAAGGACCTGTTAAAAGAAGTCCTCCACCTGTCTATAAAGCCGATGTCGAACAAATCAAGCTTCCAATCAAACAAGGTCTTTCAAAAGACACGGGACCTGTCTACATACAAAGAAAATAGAACTGCCGATAGGTCATCCAACACTATATAAAGACACTTGTCCAAAGCAAAGTCAAGGACCTACCAAGAGGAATCATTATAGTAGATCACCTGTGTATAAAGACCCTGGTCAGACGAACCACCATTTCTTTTAAAGGACCTCTGCAAGAAGACCTCTCAAAAGAGCCACCTTCTAAAAAGACTTGTGAAAAGAAGCCACCTACTGGCCTAAAGGAAAAGTTAAACGAGGCTTTCTGCGTAAAAGGACTCCTGTAAACCTGGTCTTAACATGTCATCTGTCCGTAAGGAGCATGCAGCACTTGCGAAGACACCCCTGCATGTCAATATCCCATTATTAGTATCTATCACAAATGAATGCAGTCACAAACCAGGTAATCTTCAAAGCCAAGTTCCCAGAGCGGTACATCAAAGGCTGTCAGTATCTGTTTACCTATTTCATCAGGTTCACAACAGTGCAAGTCTATATACTCTCATCCTCTGATAACAATTTGTCCGACTTATCAAAGACAATTACCAGTGATGGCCTTCTATCAGATAGCACTTCTGTAGTGTCAAAGAGTCACTTCAGGTCTGGTAATAAACCAAACTCCTGTTTTACATCTCTTCAAAAAAAACATGAGGCAACCTCCGCT